CGTGCCCGAGGAGGGTGGTGAAGCACTGGAGTGGGTTACCTCAGGAGGTGGAGGAATTTCCATCCCTAGAGGTTTTTAAATCTTGGCATGACAAAGCCCTGGCTGGGATGATTTAGTTGGGGTTGGTCCTGCCTTGGGTAGGAGGCTGGACTTGATGACCTCCTGAGGTCTCTTCCAGCTCTATGATTCTGTGATTCTAAATGTGAGATATTACGTTAGAAAACAAAATTACAGTCCAGGAGTTCATTAATGCAGAAATAGAAATGGGCAATTTCAGAAGTTTTATTTAATAAACATCCATATATAATGGATTTATAATGGATATAGAAATTAAGAAAAATTGACACATCATTCAATTATTTTAGTGGTTATCTTCCATTTAGTCTGCATCCAGTACATCATGTAGCTAAGATGCACACGTTGTAAGATGATAAAATAAAACACCTAAAATTGCTTCTATGGCCAGTTGCATGTGGCTAGTTCACTCTAGCAGTAGCCACTGTAGTGGCTACTGCTTCAGAACTGGTTGGACACCACACGTCTAGATAGTATCTATTTATATTCATTTGTGGCTTTTTGGGGCTGAATGCAGACAAAAAAGAAATAATGGTTTCTATGGGAGCAGGTCCTAAAGATGAACTAAGTATATTTACTTTTTCAGAACATATCAGAAATGGTTTTATTTTTTCACATTAGTTCTAATTATTTTGTCACTTATTTATATTTTTAAAATATTATTTGTATTACAGTAACGCCTAGACGCCTCAACAGAGGAGAGGGCTGTTAAGTGCGGTACAGATGCCCAGCAAGAGACAATCTCTGCCTCAAGCACCTACAATCCAAATAGATAAAACGGATTGTTACAGACGCCGGCGCGTTACTCCGCTCAACAGCTGATTCGACCAGGAAGTGCGTGCCAGGACGCGTTAGTTTGAACCAAACCCCTTGGTTCTAACTAACATTACTCCTCAAAAAATGAGGATTAATGTTAGTTTGAACCAATGAGTCTGGTTTGAACTAACGCGTCCCGGCACACACTTCCTGGTTCGAATCAGCTGTTGAGTGGAGTAATGCGCCAGCGAGATCATGCTAATGAAACGCTGGATATTTAAATCCCCACTTCATTAGCAATTTTGGTCACCTACATTTGCATCCCTAGCTCGAACTAGGGAGCAAGTGCAAACGTACCCTCTGACTAGTTAATTTTAAATGATTAAACCCCCATATAGTATTCTGTTTCTCCTGTTGCTGTCCCTGGTGCTGATCTGAAAGCCAGCATGCCAGAACTCAACAGCTCAATGTTTCCAAGGCGCCCACAGAGAATAAAAACAAAGCAGTTAAAAACAATCTAATCTAAATCCTACAATGACTCCTAGTGTAATCTTATAAAATAATCTATATGCTAGATTCACATATTACTATAGATATCAAAATAATGCATCTGAAATGTTATTTGTGTTAATGTCAGTGTCAGTAGAGCTATAGATCAGTGTCTTAAAAAGTTTAAATCTCAATAAATAAAAGAGAGACACACCTACTGGTATTATTAGTACTAATAATCAGGGACTGGTGCTAAAAGAATGACCAAGATTCCCAACTGGAAAAGTGATAGTTTGGTGGCTGGCTCTGTACCGCTCTAACTAAAATGTTCTTTAAAATGCCAAGAGAAAAATAAATGAGGAGAATTACAACCAAAAGTCATAGCAGTTTTGAACTGATATTACTGAATAAGAACAAATTAAACAGTGTAGTCCTTATTAGCACCTTTGTCTATGATATCTCCAAATCATCTACTCTAATATCCTCAGATGCAACCTATAAATGAACATAGATAATATCAGGTCAACACTTTCATTATGGTGCTAAGATTTTTGCATCTTGAAATGGACTTCATCATGCTATCTTCCAGCACCAGGAAATTGCTCCGTATCTAGCTTATCCTGGAAATCCATCTGCCAGATATAATTATGTGAACTACAGATATATGAAATGGATTTAAAAGTAACATTTTGATAAGCTTCCTGCAGAAAATTTCTTCATTTTGCTATCCACAAATTTTCAATGATGTGCTGGAGGAGGAAGGAGGAGAGTGTGCATTGCTAGCTTAGTAGCAACAGGCCTTAAGAGTATCGAGGATGAGATTCTCAAGGGTCTTTGTCATGGATGGAAATGGAATAATTACTGCAATACTACTAACGTCACTGGCACCCACCCACAGCCAGTCCACTAGAAATATAAGTGGAGAGCTCAGTCTGTTTTGCAGATTACAGACAGGCTAACCAGGAAGGAATAAGCCCGAGTCAAACTTACAGGTAAGCTTTATTTAGGGAGAGAGTGAGAGTAAAGGTAAGAGTGAGAGTAAAGGTTTGGGTGTTTTTATGTTGCCTGAAGTTACAAAATGTACTATATTTAGTATTAATTTTTATATTTGCCACATTTAGTTTTTCTCAGGCACTTCTAAAATTGGGCTACCTGGATTTTTAATGATATTGCAATACTTTCCTCCACAACGATCTGCTGCTATAACTAAATGGTGAGCTGTTTTAGAACTATTATAGGATGGCAACAGGAAGGGATCCAGTGTCTCAGAAGTAGCAATGGAATGGGAAGCATTTCTTCAGGACTAATCTGTTCCTCAAGATACACTAAAGGGAGAGGGAGAAAACACACAAAAAATATATTCTCCTATGGGTAGATCCTCCTTGTCATGGACTGATTGTTTTAAACCACTTGTCAGTATTAATTATAGGAAAGGCTTGTTTTCATGTGTCAGTGGTGCACATTTTAAAGAACTCACACAATCTGATTCTTTCCTCCTCTCATGTGTAGCCTGCTCATCTTTCCAGCATGTGGAAAGTGGCACTTCTGCTTTTGTGCTCCATGCTTACTCTGAGGGGATCAGCAAAGGCAGCTCCACTGAGGCCAGAAGAAAAATGGAAACCTTTGGACAATCCCAGAAACCGAGATCTGGTAAGGAACCATTGTAACGAAGCCCAAGCTGTGTGTGTTTCGCATACACAGGGGTCTCATTACAAGAATTTCTTACCTTTTGTAATTAAAAACTTCAAAATGAAGAGAGACCTTCTTAGCTAGTTAATAACAGTGATGTGCATTATATGGTCCGTGTCAGCCGCTAACTGCACATGCTTTAATTTAACTTGAAGAAACTCTTTCAGTTTAATATACTACACATGGATCTTCCTTATCTATGCACAGCACACATTAATTTTACAAGAGATGTATTTTGATCTGTGAAAATATAACTCATTTTATCCAATAGAATAGCTGTGATCTGTGTTTTTTCCTAGCCCTGTTCTTGTTTCCTGTATAGGCAATATTGTTTAAGGCACATGATAACCCTTGATTTGAAAACACAAATGCATTCACATTGGACAGCACCTTGAATGGTTATGATGGTTGAATGATATGACAGCCATCTCATCCTCTGTACTCGTAAGGCCTGGTGCTACTAAACAAGAACTGAGAAATATTTCATTACAAAGGATTATTACGCAAAAGTTGTGCAAAACTTGTTAGTGATACGCAATAATGTTTTTACTTGTTTGGAAACTGGCAAAGTATAATTTTAAAAAACTTACCTAAAAACTAATATTTCTGAAATATAATGAAGTCTATCCAGCCAAAGGATCAGCTCAAACCAGTTGCCTAATGCAGGTGGCTTTTAAGATAAACAAAATTGTACTGGTAAACCTGAGGAGGCTACTCTACTTTGACTATTTTTGGAAGCTGCCCTTACTAGAGGTTTCACTGTGTGTCTTTTCTAAAGGGAATGTTAGCAAATTGGACTGAATGATACTCTAATCACATTTCTTGTAAAGATCTTTACATAAACCATACCCTTTTATATTTGAACATTTATCAGTTTGAGGGTCTTCCAGATATTGTAGGAAGTTTAATCTTCACCATTAAGGTGTATTTAGTGTGTAAAAGGCATGAATTAAAAAGTGGAGTATCTATCCCATCTGTTAAAAAATCAGCTTCTTAAAGCCTAAGGATCTGAAGAATTGAAGATCTTTGAAGTAATCTGATTAAATTTTCCTAGTTTATGCCACTACTTCTTTGGAGGACCAAAGCTAATAAATATATTTTACTGATATTGTCAGTGTCAGACATATACACATTGTGAGAACTGGCATTCGGGAGAGCTTTTCTTCTGTAGGTTATCAGTTTGAATCATCACGACTTAGCTGAGAATTCCATGATTAATGGGTTGAGGGTCTTTGGACAGGCATCCCACCCCAAGGCTAGACTGTGACACCCTTCCTCACAATGAGAAGTACTTTACTTCACACGGAGTCCCATTACATTTAGAATCTGGCAACAATAGCTGGGTCTTTGTGGCCAATTCCATCATAAGGGCCAATAACTGACTGTACTTGGCAAATGAATATAACTAAATCACTGCTAGGTATTAGCATTCCAGTTCAGACTTGAAACTCATTGTTAAATCAGAGTGGAACAGTTTGCTTGGCCACTGCCCATCTTGTTTGTGTTGGTGGATAAAACAGGGGACGTCACTCCAATCCAGTTCTTTTCACAAGCAGTATATTTTGTTTTAGTGGATATGATTATTCATCTCACATTTCTTAAATATAAATTGTCTTCAGTTTTTCAGAACACTCCAGGCTTATTTTTCGGGGAGGGGTCTTGATCTGAGAAAGTTCTTAAATACTGTCTCTGTGAATAATGACAGACCCAGGCCTGTAGCTATCTACACGGATCCTACTGCTTCTGCATTTGCAGATTATGAAGAAAAGAAAAAAATGTTTCAAAACTACTTCAAAGACTGAAAGAAGCTGCTGACCACGGTAAAAGCAATTTTTTTTTTCAACTGTGCTGACAATTGCATGTGGTTGAGTTACAGATTTGGATTTGGGTAATTTCCCCTTTTATATGAAAAATAAAAAAATAATTTGCTGTTAATAATACATCAGAAATGTGTGGTATCTTAACTCTCACTCAAAGCATATTGAAATTTATTTAAGGAGAAATTTATGGGGAGTTAATTTCTTTCTTTTTTGGGTTGGGGGGTCACTGACCCATAGAAAAATCAGTCGGAGCTGCACAAAAGTGAGAAGTGGGGGAAAAAACCACATTCCTCTCATACACCAGAACCTGGGGAGCCCTGGTTAGTAGATTTTGTGGGCCTCCCTTTGCTCTGGTGTGGGGCTAAGTATGAGGAGCCCAGTGTGTGGGAGGGAGCTGCTGGGAAGTGGGCTTGGGGTGTGGGGACTGGGTGGGAGGGAGGGTTCAGGAGTGGGTGGGGGGTTGATGGGTCTGGGAAGGTGGTAGAGTGTAGAAGCAAGCTAGGGGTGAGAGGCTGGGCCAGAGGTAAAGTGCAGAAGTGGAGTGGGGGTGCAGGGTCTGAGAGGGAGGGAAACCACCAGTCTGGAGCACCAGTTCTGCAGTGCTGGGGGGCGGAGGCGCCCTGAGCCTCAAGGGCCAAATACAAGCAAGCTAGGGGCTGGATTCAGCCCTCAGGCCATAGGTTCCCCACCGCTGCCATAAAGTCAGTGAGAATGTTTCAGTTAAGGTCCTTTGGCTTTGGAAAAGACCCTATGTGCTTTTAAATACTCCCGTTTGCTATCCTTATTATATATATTTTTTTAATTTCAGGTGGTTACTTTTGGACTCCATGTGAATTGGAAGCACATTTGATAAAATGTTACTGCTATGGGGTTTCTAACTATTATCTGACAATTTAACATTTTCTTCAGCATAAGAGTCTTTACATATCAGATCTGACTGTAATTGCCATATTTGCTCATTTCTCAGGTGGTGAGGTATGTATGGCTGTGAAGATTGGTCCAACAGGATTTTATTTGTTAAAATATAAATGAAAGAAAAATTCAGTCTGATGGAATACATCAAACTATTCCCCATTGTCTTTGTTGAGGAATGTAAATAAATGTTATCTTTCAGTTTGTTACATCTAGGTTTTAGATAACTATTTTCTTCAATGGAATTTTACAGATTTCTTTTTTCATTACAGTGCTTTGTATTTGATTTGGACATGTGTGGAGCTTAAAAAAAATCTTTCAGTCACTACAGAAACATATCTCTTTGTTCTCTGTTTGTTTAGCACAGGGAGGGATAGCTCAGTGGTTTGAGCATTGGCCTGCTAAACCCAGGGTTGTGAGTTCAATCGTTGTGGAGGTCGTTTGGGGCAAAAATTCATCAGGGATGGTATTTGGTCCTGCTGTGAAGGCAGGGGACTGGACCCAATGACCTTACCTTTCAAGGTCCCTTCCAGTTCTAGGAGATAGGCAATCACCATTAATTTTTTTTTTTCAAAATGGGCCCCCTCGTTGGTGACTGGGGTTGCTCCGTGCTACCACAATTTAAATAATAAATAATGATCTTTTAAAATCTGCATGAAAGAAAGATAGACTCATCAGATTAATACATTTGAGAGATATCCCAAGATCATCTTACTGATAAAAGGCAGAAGATAATATAAAACAAACCTTCATAAAAGTGGAAATAAGAAAAAGACTGTGAAATCCTAAGACATGCATTACAAATATCATATTCAAGCTATCATTCAGATACACAATACCCATCAAATATTTTGGCTTTTATGTTTTGATAGGAATCTGATATTCAGGAATCCCTATGATTCCCACTATTTAGTAATTAAGCTAATAAGTTATTCATAAGAGCCTAGCTTACTATTTCTGCTTTGACTATTCCTTATGTAGCTGAACCATTACAGATTTCAAGAGCCAAATTCTAAAATGGCACTAGAAAATCATTCATTCAGATTACCACAGTTACTTCGTATTTGGAAGGTAAAGAATTGATCCGGAGAGAACTTTTACACATGTGCTTAACATTCCACATGTGAGTAGTCCTATTGATTGATTGGTAAAGGATGAAATCCTGGTCCAATTAAAGTTAATGGCAAAAGCCTCATTGATTTCAATAGGATGAGGATTTCACCCAACTTGAACACAAGTTTTTGCAGTCAGGGCTTAAACCCCTGTTTAACAATGGGTATGAAATAAAGAAATAATGCCTCCATTACTATTTCAATATTGACATGGTCACTAGTTATACCTGCCTTCTTGTAGAACTAGGACAAAAAGGTAGGCCACCTGCTTCAAAATACAAGCATCTGTCATCTAAACTAAACTCCTTTAACTGTTAGTAGTTGAAGGGATTTTCTTTTCTTTCCTTTTCTTTTCTAACTAGCACAGAGATGTAGTCTGGACCCAGTTAGCCCACTAAATGGAGATTTTTTTTTTAAGTATCAGAAGAACGACTAGCATATTTGAAAAAAGTCTATAGAAGGCAGTGTACATTCATGCAAACTCAGACGCTAGAATCCATATCTGTAATTTCATCTTTGCTTTCTAATACAATAATTGCTCTAGAAACATAATAACTGCCCTACTCCAGATATGTCACAGAAATGGTTTCTCAATTTTTAAGAGTTCTGCTACTCTGTTTCCACTCGATGAAAACAACACCATGTCTTTCCTGCAAGGAATCAATGCAATCAGTAAAAACCTGAGTTATTAAATATCCATCCAATTTTTGTATCTTTCCCATATCAAGTGGTTGAAAAAACGTAAAGCCTCATCCAACACTGCCTTTCATTTTTACTAATATAAAGTGAGGGCAAAGTGCATGTAAATCTGACTTATCTCTGGCCAAACCAAGGGTGCTTTTCCAATAACCTCACCATCATGTTCCAGTTACGCCTCTAACACTTAGGACAGCAACAAAATTCCTCTACTCCTGTTTCTGGCAATGGTTTTCCAGCTGTGCCCCAAATTTTTCAGCTCCACATCCACAACTCTTCACCATGTTGTTTTTGAGCAACCTTGTTCTGGCTTGCCTTCAGGTGTCCATCTTATCGTTACTCTGGAGATAGAATTAGTTTCCATCCAAAGCACATGACCAATCCATCTCCAACACCTCTTGGCAATGATGGTTCTCATATCCTCTTGGTTGTATGAAAAGAAAAGACTTTGGACATGCTATATTTTCTCATTCCGCAGCATTCTGCACAATAAAGTAGACAGCTCTGATAAATCTTGTGGTTGATGCTAGTGATGTGTGTTGATGATTTCCAGATGTATTTAAGCTCTTGAAAGTGTTTCTGGATATATTGATTCTGTCCGAGATGTCCTGGCTTGTTTCACTGTCCTGGTTGATGGTGTTGCCCAGGTATGTGAATGTTTCTACATTTCCCAGTATAGATTTCCATAAATGTTTATATCTAATAATATCTTTATAAATTAGGAAGTTCGACTTCTGTTTTTCCTGGATGGCTGCATCCATTTATTTGCTCTCTGTGCCCTCCTAATAAACTACAGCAGTAGATGTATGTTCTATGCATAATCCTGTACTTCCTTTATCTGGTCAGGATTTAGTGTCTCCCATGTGCTATGAGCTTTCAAGCCCTTAAAACAGTGCAAGGAACAGAAAATGCTCTTTCAGCTATCTCAAAGTTCCTGCTAGTCAGTGGTTTCCAATGTGTGGTCTGCACACCCCTCCTCATCCACGACCGTACTGCAGGAGATCCGTGCAGTGTTTAAAAATAAGGATTGATCCTTTGTTTTCCTTTTTCTTTCCTTACTTTTCCTTTTAATTTCTTTTTCTCCCCCAGGGAGGAGGGGGTCTGTGAAATTTTAATAGATTGAAAAGGGGTCTGAATACTCAAAAAGGTTTGGAACCACTGTGCTAGATGCACTACTCCACAGATTTCAATATATTGTGGATCAGCCTATACACTGGGCTGAAACTATTAAAAAACGGGTAGTTTTGACATTTTGGAAAGATGTTGGGTAAACTAAGCTTAGGAAATACATCATTTTAGATCATGTGGGAGATGGTAACACTGACCATATGTCCAGATTTTTTCAGGACTGTCCCAAATTTAAATACTCTTCCTGGAAAGCCCCGCTGCACATTTCATTACTTGACGGATACATTGGCTTGCAGGAAGACGCACCACAACGTGCCGTTGCTCCTCACACAGCGCAGCAGCCTCCTCCCTCTCCCCCCCAGCAGGGCGCATAGGGTAGCCAAGCCAGCTTCCAGTGGCGTGTGGCCTCTTCCTTCTCCTGCAGGACCGCAGGGTCCTGGTCTGGCGGCACCACCTCCTCCTCCTCCAGACTGCTTTGGAGCCCTGTCAGGAGCTGTGTGGAGCCTGGCTGGGACACTGCAGGGTGGGCAGCACTCGGGCTCAGCCGGTGTTGGGACTGGAGCAGAGGCTATCCGCGGTGCTATTTTTAGTACCATGGTCTGGGTCCCCGCGGGCGGTCCTGGGTCCAGTTGGAGTCAAGTGGCAGCCCCATGAGACGCATTCTAGCCGGGGCAACCTCCCCGGAATGGGCCTCGTGCAGCTGCTGCTTGACTCCAGCTGGAGCTGGGGCTGCCTGCGGGGACCTGGACTGCAGTACTAAAAATAGCCCTGCAGGTGGCCTCTGCTCCACTCCCAGCATATGGTCCTGCCCTGAGCCAGCTGGGGCCGGGCCCATGGTACTACAAATAGCGCCGCAGACGGGCTGCAATCTCACAAAGGGCTTTCCAGGGGCACGCACCACAGGAGGGGCGGGGCTAGGGGAGGCGTGGCCACTGAGGCAGACGGCGCTGTCCGTCGGGCCGGCAGCGGCAGGCGCTGGGGTGGGCGGAGCCAGGAGAGGCTGCCAGGCCCCCCCGCCCCGTGGTCACCCGCTGCCTCTAGAACCGCCCCAGCCAGCCGCGTGACATCCGTACTGCGCATGCTCCGTGCTCTGGGCCGGCCCCGGAACGGTTGTGCGGAAGGCTGCGAGCTGCGGCCGGAGCCGATTAACACGGGACGCCGAGTCCGTCGGCGAAACGCTCCCCGCCCCCCCCACCCCTCCCTTTCCAGGCCGCGGTACCCAACGGCGGCGCAGCGCAGGGCGCGCGATGTCGGGCTTCAGCCCCGAGCTGATCGATTACCTGGAGGGGAAAATCTCCTTCGAGGAGTTCGAGAGGCGCCGCGAGGAGCGCAAGAGCCGCGAGAGGAAGGTAGGGGGGCGGGGGAGTGAGGAGCCCGGCGCCTAGGGGGGGCTCCGGGGGTGTGTGTGTGGCGCGCGCATCGCCCCCCCCCCTCTCCCCGCCTCCAGCCCTTCCCGCTGCCTCCCGGGCGTCGCTGCGGTGACTCCACAAGCAGGGCCCGTGGCCCCCCCCCCCCCCATGCGTATGGGCATCGCTACAGCCAGGGGCTTACCTGCCGCTAGCGAGGCTCGCCAGGAACGGTTGGGGACTCGTGGCCGTCGCCACGTTGCCGCCAAGCCAGGGCCGCTATTCGGCGCGGGGAGCCCGAGCAGGTGTCTAGCTCTGAAAGGACATAGGCGTCCCCGGCAGGGGTGCTGCAGCATGGGGGGCGTTCCAATGGGAGATGCCCACGGGGGGACACTTTTGTTCACTTGGCTAGTTGGGCCTCATTGTAGCGTGAGGATGTGGGAGCCGTGACGTACATTCCGGTGGACTTCAAAGCAAACGATGTACCTCAGGATACGTCTGTCGACACTAACGTAGGACGACAGAGAATAGTCACAATTCAAACGCTCTTTACACAGGCAAGTTTAAGTTTGACACAATCAACTCTGGATTAAACAAAGACTGTGAATGGCTTGCTAACTACAAAAGCAGCTTCTATTCTCTTGGAATTCACACCTCCAGATCAGCTGCTAGAAGTGGGCCTCATCCTCCTTGATTGGATCCACCTGGTCATCTCCAGCCTGATCCTGGCCTGCATATTTATTCCTGCCTCTGGAAATTTCCACTACATGCATCTGATGAAGTGGGTCTTTGCCCACGAAAGCTTATGCTCCTACACTTCAGTTAGTCTATAAGGTGCCACAGGACTCCTCGTCGCTTTTGCAGATTCAGACTAACACGGCTACCCCTCTGATACGTGCCTTAATGGAATATCTGTTCCATCAATAATGCAAAAAGCCGGAAACCAATATTCTAAAGGCCAGTAATTAGAAGCCATGGTGGAACAGTAGAATTAAGTCAGCAGTTGTATTACAGGCCTTGTGATTAATTGTGTTGATATCGGTAGGATGGAGAAAGTGTACCTACTGAGGACAATACAGATGACCCAGATGCTCCATCTACATCTGGAAAAGGATCTGGTAAATCCAGGGCCCACAGTGAAACAGAAGGTAATTAAGTGAAAACATGTGAAAATCACATTAGAGTCATAGAACCATAGAGCTGGAAGAGACCTCAGAAGGTCATCAAGTCCTGCCTCCTGCTCATTATTTTGTTATTGAAAGCATGGATTCTTTGATAGGTGACTTTTAAAAACAGTTTACAGTTGGCATACAGTATGTATGAAATGTTTTATCTCCTACATATCCAGGCTTGAAACTGAACCGGGGGGTGCCCTGTATCTCAAGAGGTAGGCTCAATCAAACACAGGGCTGAAATAGGGAATGCTCAGCAACAGCGTTCCCTGTAAAATTTTCCATCAGTGAGCAGAGTGAGGTTTTGCCTTGTGCACTAGCAATGAGATCACGTGCACTTGTTTTGATGTGTGCTACCCACCAGTAGCATTGCTCCCCAGGAGACTCTCCCCTACCTCTTGGGGAGAAGGTGAGACATGTCTCCATGCAGAGGGAAGCTGCTTCCAGTGCCCAGGGTGTATAGGGAGTGAGATGCTGGGGGTGGGGCAGATGGTTGGGGGCTCTTAGGGGTAAAAGAGAGGTGTGGGATAAGGATGTTAAGTATCAGATAATTGACTAATCGAATAGTTGATGCATTTTGCATTGACTGTTCAATTAGTCGATAGGGTGCCTCCACCTGGCGTCACACTCCTCACAGCATTCAAAGGCAAAAGCGCCATGTGGAGCCTGGGGTCAGCTGGGGACTCTCCCGCTAACTCTGGGATCTGTGCGGCACTGCTGCTTTGAAACGCTGCGGTAGCATTTCAAAGCAGCAGCACCACATGGAGCCCAGGGCAAGCTGAGGAGTCCCCAACTGATCCTGGGCTCCACACGGCACTTTTGCCTTTGAATGCTGTGAGGATCCTGATGTGCAGCTCCCCATGGTGTTTCAAAGCGGCAGCTCCTCATGGAGCCTGGGGTCAGCTGAGGAGTCCCCATCTGATTGCAGGCTCCACGCAGTGCTGCTGCTTTGAAACACTGTGTGCAGCCTGGGTCACCCCAGCTAGCCCCAGGCTGCAATGCGGCTTTTCAAAGCGGCAGCACTGTGTGGAGGCCAGGGTCTGGCCCAAAGCTCCATGCAACTCTGACGCTTTGAAGTATCCCCTCTTTTCTCTCCTTGCCTTGCGGTCTCTATCTGACACAGGCAGCAAAAGGGTGGGGGAAGCGACTAGTCAACTATCCTGTCGGCTATCTAATAAGCATTTGCTTATCGGATAGTCGACTAGATGACTAGTCCTTCACATCCCTAGTGCAAAGAGATGCAGGGGGCCTCAGCACTAGGTGCAGCTGCACCACAGCCCGGCTTCAGCTTTGGGCGGCTGCCATGCAGCCTTCCCAAGGAGCAGTTGGGAACTCAATTTGGGGCCTTGAACACAGCTCCAACCCTGGGGAAGGAATGGAGCTGGCTCCAGCCATTGGAGCAGCCTCCTCACCACATGGCCCTGGTTCCCACCATGTGGCCCCCCTGAGCAGGTCCCTGATTGGCCCTGACCCCAGCCCCCTGAGCCAGCCCTGGTGCCCAAGCAGGTGCTCCGAGCTGGTCCTGGCCCTCCAAGTAGGTCCCCTGAGCTGGTCCCAATCCGGCCGCCAGAGCGGGCCCTCTCTCCCCCCGCCATGCAGAAGGTCCTGGCTCCAACTGCTGGAGCAGGCCCTGGCCTCACCACCATGTGACCTCAACTGCCTCACCAGTGGCCCCCACTACCACGTTGCCTCAGCCGCTCCCCTCCACAGCAGCCTCCCTACCACCCCGCCTCTCCCGGCCCTAGCCTGGAGCAGCTGCCTGCTATGCTACTCACCTTCCAGCAGGAAGGTGAAGCCTGCTGCGTGGCTTTGCTAAGTAGGTGGGCGGGTGGAGAATTTTTTGTGTGCAGCCACGCAGGTGCGCACCTTAGCAGGAATTATGCTCAGCAACAATAACTGCAGTTCCATCCATTCTACTGACAGTATTGAGACCTGACTTAAACATCAACGCACACGTTTATCAGAATGTTGTAAATTGGTTCTGATTCTCTTCAAGGAGAAACAACAGATGGGGTCAGTAAATCTGTCCACCGGGTCTTTGCTTCCATGCTTGGGGAAAATGAAGATGAGGAGGAGGAAGAAGAGGAGGAGGAAGATGAAGAGGAAGATGAAGAAACCTCTGAGCAACCGACCGCGGGAGATGTTTTTGTATTGGAGATGGTGCTTAATCGAGAAAACAAGAAAATGATGAAAGCAAGTATTTACATTTAAAAATCTTCATGTAGTATGCACAGTGAATAAATGTTTTCACTAACATCATTTTAGAAACATAATGGTAATATTTTAAAACATGACTGAAAATGTTATACATGATGTCTCTTGAACCATTTTAACAGTTCGATTTGTTTTCATGTCTGTATATTTGAAAAGATTCTGGCTGGTCTCTAGGACGGTTTGTTGAGTACACTTTATATAATTCCTTGTATTAGACATTAATTCAGGTCTAAATTTTTAATGGGGGACCACTCCAAGATTTTGGCAAGTGGTCAAGGGCCACACTTCTGTGGAGGGGGGTGGAGGGTTTGGGACAGAGATTGGGTGCAGAAGGGAGCTTGGGGTAGGGGACTGGAGTGCAGGGTGGGGCATGGGGTCTGAGAGGGAGTTTGGGTGAAGGAGGGGGTTGTGATCTGGGGCAGAGGTTTGGGGTGCAGGGTCCAAGACGGGTTAAGGGTGCAGGAGAGGATTCTAGCCTGGGGGAGGTTCTCTAGCAGGGGGTGCAGGGTCTGGGACGGAGTTGTGACCTGGGTGAAGGGGGTGCAGAGAGTTTGGGTGGTGATGTTGGGCAGGTGAATTGGGTACAGGGTCAGGGAGGGAGTATGGGTGCAGGAGAGGATTCTGGCCTGGGGGCTGGGTGCAGGAGGGTGTGCAGGCTCTGGAACGGAGTTGTGACCTGGGAGAAGGGGGGAAAGGGGAACAGAGGATTTGGGTGGAGGCCTGGGGCAGGCAGTCGGTGGGAGGGGGAAAGGTGTGGGGTGCCAGAGGCAGGTTCCCAGCCAGCAGCCCTGCTGGAACCTGAGGCTGACTGCTGAAGTCTGTCAGCTGGGCGCTCCATGTGGGCATAAGGGGGGGCGAGAATAAGTCACATACTGTCCGTGGCCTCAGCAAAATTTCCGTCGACGGAGCCATGTAAATTTAAATGAAGCCGCGATCATTTAAATCGCGGCTTCATTTAAATTTACATGGCTGCCGCGCTGAGCCGACAAACAGCTGATTAGCTGTTTGTCCGCTCAGCGCGCTAGTCTGGACGCTCCCCTGCCGACATCAAAGCCCTTTGTCGGCAGCCCCCTTATTCCTCGTGGGATGAGGGTTACCGGGGCTGCCGACAAAGGGCTTTGATGTCGGCAGGGGAGCGTCCAGACTAGCGCGCTGAGCGGACAAACAGCTGATCAGCTGTTTGTCGGCTCAGCGCGGCAGCCATGTAAATTTAAATGAAGCCGCGATCATTTAAATCGCGGCTTCATTTGCCTTTGCCTATGTGTCTAAACTACATGCCCAGACACAGCCTTATTGTACAGCTACTTTAATCACACAGACTCCTTATTATGTTGATCAACTTGTCTAGTAATCTATAGCTTCTTACAGTAATCCACAGTACCTCTCCATGGACATCATCCAATGGTATCAGTAAAGTTAATTAAGATAGCTAGGTTTTTGCCAAGCAGTAGCTTTTTAAAAATTATCAGTTCACAACATCATTTATTTTGTCAGAACTCCGTCTCTTCTCATAATATTTTGTCTGCTACCTTTCTCATTGTATTCAGCATCATAGTAGCCAATACTTTGCCTAGGATTAATAGCAGTTTAATGCCTCTCCAGTGCTCACTGAATAAGAGCATTCTTTTTCGGATGGAATGCCTCATTTATACCATCTTTGCAAGCTTGTGAAACTTGTTCTTTTGCTTGTATTTCAGTATAGAGTTTTATAGGCTGCTCAGTCAGCACTCTCCCCCCTCCCCCTTAGTACCTCTGCTTGAAGACTGTCAACCCCAGGAGTTTTCCTTTGTTTAAGGTGTGTGCTGGCTGTTTTGATTTCATTGAGAGTTATTTGTTCTATTTCTATAATGCCCATATTAGCATTGGCATTTCTTTCAAACCTGTGCATGATTGTCAGCTCTGGACAGTTTAATACGTAATGGAAACGTTTTTTCCATTGTTTGTTTGGATTCATTCATTTTCAACATTTTTTCCCTAAGAGTCCCTGGTGTTGTCTTTCACTCTTTCATAGAGGTGTCTGAAGTTTCCCTTCTATTCTGATGCTTCTGCCTCTGTAGCCTTCTGAGTCCAGGAATTTTTATCACTGCTATTCTGTTATCCTGTCTTCATGATCTTTTTGCAGTTATGCTATAATGTAGCTACTAAAAATAATGATCTGACTCCCTAAAAGATGATGCCCATCTATTATGAATAGACACATAAACATCTTTGATAGTCCCATGTATCTGGTGATTTCCATGTGACTCTTCTCAGGAAATGCCTGTCTTCCATTTTTAGGAAGCTTGTGACAGAGATCCAAGAGCCATTCCTCATTATCAGTTTGGATGCATGGCACTTCTGTGCCCATCACTCCTTCCCAGACAGTAAAGCTGTTGCTGATTTGTGCATTGAAGTTACCTGTCATCAATGTGATGTCATGGTTAGGCACATCTTCCAAAACTAGTTCATCAGTTCTCCATTTCACTGTTGCCTGTTGTGATAAGTGTGTTCCATGTGTCTATTCTTGTGCATTTTGTCAAAGAGTTGTAGTCTTGAGATGTTAGCTTTCTTTGGCTGTCATTAAGGTTGTCATTCTTGGGTTTTGAGCTCCAAGTGCACCTACTGTCACCAATTTTTGTTGCAGTAAGATGTCATCCAACTACATCCCAAATGCAGCCAGAGCCCTCTTCTTTTATCTTAAAACTGCTCAAAATAAGTGCACAGACACTGGTTAAAGAGTAGGCGAGTAACTCAAATTGGATTTTAAACTTTATAAATGAATATTGGGATTATGCAGTGAGCTACCAAAATTAGGTCAGACACGTGTGTCACTTGTGCTGAAATAAATGTAAAATATTTCATATTTAACAACAAATAATTAGAGATGTAATTGATTACTTTTGAATTTGAACATAATAGAATCGGGCTTAACATTTGACCAGTTTAAAAATAATTGGACGATTGGTCAAATATTGTAATAGCAAAACATTGTTAAATATTTTTGAGCACTAATTTATAAAACAATATAAAAAAAGTGAAGGTTTATGATCTTCAGTAGGCTTAGTCTTAGATGCTTATGCCTAATTACAAAACACAATTAATTACTTAACTGTATTTTAACTCTTGAAAAATGCAAAACACAATTAAATGAATAAAAAGGAAAGCATGGCTCCCAGATGTAATCTAAAAGGTAGAGGCTACCACCTGCATCAAGGCAGTTTTACTAGAATATTTGACAATGTTTGACCATGGTCAGATAGGTGTTCAAACTGACATTGCTTGACTGGTCAGTTGATCAGCTTGCCAAGCCTATTATGGGATCTTTCAATATGTTTCTAATACCATCTTTCAATTTAGGAGAAGAGGCCTCGCAGTAAACTTCCTCGAGCCCTGAGAGGCCTCATGGGAGAAGCTAACATTAGGTTTGCCCGAGGGGAACATGAAGAAGCTATACTTATGTGCATGGAAATCATAAGACAAGGTACTTCAGTATGTTGTGGGAGTGTGAGAGACTTTAATATACCAGCGATCTAAAGGAGTAAGGTTTATATGGAATTGATAGTATCCATCAAGGGAACTGTAAACATAAACCTTATTGCTTCATTTAGTATAAAGTATTGCAGCATCAGGAGCTCATCTATTTGTAAATGGCCATATCATTAATTTGGTATTCGAAATACTACTCGTTCATCTCTAAGCTCTTTCAGTTAATTTTTTTTTAAACAAACAATAAGACCCTGATCTTGCAAAATCTTATACCCTTGCTTAGCTGTAAGTACTTACGTTTCATCAACTGCAGAACTAGTGTCTAAATGGCTTGCAGAAATGATTTGCTTAGTGGATAAAATACTGTATAAGGTTGTAAGTTAGTTTGTTTCATTACACATAAGATGAATTGGGAGATTGTCAGAAGGTTTCTTTGTTTTAACAAATTAATTGAATATTTCGTATACTTCTTATATTCATTATTTGTTGTCAGGTTTGTTAAAAGTTTAAAAGCTAATGAATGTTTTTGTCTTTAATAGCTCCTCTTGCTTATGAGCCATTTTCTACTCTTGCCATGATCTATGAAGACCAAGGTGATATGGAAAAGTCATTGCAATTTGAGTTGATTGCAGCCCATTTAAACCCTAGTGACACTGAGGAGTGGGTTAGACTGGCAGAAATGTCTCTAGAACAGGACAATATTAAACAGGCCATATTTTGCTATTCAAAAGGTAATGTAATGACTATTTTACTATGCTTTTGTTTTAGTGGTTAATTTTATCTAGCTTTCCAGTTCCGTTTTCTGTTCACTGATTTTGTGATAACCTTGTTGAAATGGATTTGATCTTTGTGTATAGGTATATCTCATTCTACAAGATCTGAGGGTTTCTCCTTCTTACTTAAAATGTATGGGTGTATTAAAAATCGATGGATGATTGAGCAATCCCTTTTGCTGTGTTTTGGGAGAAGATAAGCAATAAACTTATACATATATAGTACGTACATTAGCTACGTCTTGTATACATATTGGTACATTAGTAGATAATGCACATACTAGATAAGTCTATTGGATTTTTGAGTGTTATAGGAGACCTTTCCTCAGGTGTCAGATATAGTTTTCCGTATTTTTTTTATCTTCTAAGATGATACTGACACGTGCCAAGTGCTTTATCATGCATCATTCAGGTGGATAGTCAAGCAAGTATAGTGAACCCATACTTGAGTTTGTCTAAGGACATGTACAGTACTGATTACTTTTTGTTATTGTTGTAGCTTTGAAGTATGACCCTACTAATGTGCGTTATCTGTGGGAGAGATCAAGCTTGTATGAGCAGATGGGGGACCATAAAATGGCAATGGATGGCTATAGACGTATCTTAAATCTTCTGTCCCCTTTTGATGGAGAACGCTTTATGCAGTTGGCCAGGGACATGGCGAAGTAAGTTAGCTTTGCCAATGGTATAACTTGATTTTCCAAGATTGAAAAACAACTCATTAATTTAAGCTTATTTCCTTTGCCTGTTAGAAAAATAATTGGAAATTTCTCCCTGTGACTTCGTTGGCTTTTAAAATACAATGCTGTTTCTGCAGAACCTAGTTTGTTCCAGAACCATACCTGAAATTGGCCTGAAGCCTTTCCTGGGCAGTATTACCTAGCCAATAACTTGCACTAAAATCAGCTGTTTGATTTATTCTGTGCCTCAGTTTTCTCATCTGCAAAACAGGCTAAGAATTCCTTACTCCATCACACAAAGGCCTCAGCCAGGCTAATTCTGTTATAACGTAAAGCCCTTTGAGATCCATGGAAAAGAGGTGGTGTATATATGCACATAGTGTTGTAATATGTTTAGAGTTTGAGCAGAGAGTACCTTAATATAATAAAGCCTGCAAACTTGGTTATTGAAAACCAAAAGCAGGAGAAAACTTCTTTAAAAACCCAATAAAAAGCAAAACATGTAAGAGAAAATTTAATGATAAAACCAGTTCACCAAAATGGTAAAAAATTGCCATGAGATTGAAAAAATCTGTTCCTTTTCACTTAAATTTAAAAAAAATTGACCAGCTCTAATAAAAATGCTCATGAGGAGGAGAACACAAATGAAAGGGACAAGGGGAAAAAGTGTTCAAAATCCGTAGGGTTTGCTGAGCCTTTTAGTTCAGTAGCTTTCATAATATGTGTAGCATTGAAAATGGTCCCTAATACCTTATACCTATATTTTTATAGGAGTTACTATGAAGCCAATGATGTCACATCTGCAATTGAAATAATGGAAGAAGCCTTTACTAAACATCAGAGCCTCATTACCATGGAAGATATTAATATAGCAGCTGAATTGTATATCTCCAACAAACAGTATGACAAAGCTATGGCGGTATGAGAATGAAATGTTTTTATGTCAGGTTTAACCATTCTGTATTCTTTGGATGGACAGACTTTTTGTCTTGAAGTTTTTAAACAATATAACTTTCTAGTTTTGTGATAGTTCAGCAAATCATATAAGTTAATATTCATTACTCCAGTCTGTCAGTGAATTAGCACTGAATTCAAATCGAGTTTATTCAGTAAGAGGCAATAGAAGTTGGATGTTGTTTCTTGGAGAAGGTTTTAAAAATGTGATTTTTCTTCTCCTGAGGTTGTATTGATCTCAGTAGTCTGATGATGCCAATGATCATTCATAGTTTAGGGCAAGAAGGGTCCATTAGGTCCTCTTTCTGGCCTATAGTACATTACAGGTCCTTATACTCTTGTGTTGAGACTAATAAATTATGCTTTAGTCAAACACTAGCAGAGTTTGGCTAAAGAATATCTCTCAGAAAGACACCCAATTCAATTGGAAGACCTCAAAAGATGAAGAATACGCAAATCCCTGTGATAGTTTGTTGCACTGATTAATCACTCCCTCTTAACAATTTGTCCTATTTCTAATTTGGATTTGTTTGGCTTCAGCTTCAAGCCATTGGTTCTTGTTATACCTTTTTCTCCCTAACTGAAAGAGCCCGTTAGTACCTATTTTTTCACCATGAAGATATTTAAACACGGTAATCAAGGCACCTTTTCTTTTTGGTAAGCTAAACAGATTGAGCCTTCATGTCTCTTATGCAAGACATTTTCTCCCACTCTTTTTATTGCTCTTTTCTTTACCTTCTCCAGTTTTCAACATTCTTTTTACAACGTGGAAACAAGCATTGTAGAAATTTATAGCAGTTTCAGTCTTATCTCTGCCATTGGCAGAGGTAAAATCACCAGCCTGCTCCTACTCGCTGCTACTCTATAAAAGTCTAAATATTTTACATCAAAACAATTTCTGTACTTTAGATGTTCAGACTCTGGAAAAAAATGGAAGAACTTTGTACAGGTTGGACCTCCCAGATCCAACATCCTCAGGGCCTGAACAGTCCCAAATGAGGGATTTTGCCTGACCAAGGGAGCTCAATTCCAGCCCCTCTGCTGATGGATTTCGGGCTCTCCTGGGGTTCATTAGCACACCTGGCTAGGTGCCCCTTTGGGCTCCATGTCCCCATCTGGCTCCTAGCTCTGGCAGCTGGGTTCCCTGCCCCCGGGGCAGCGGGGCTTCTGCTTCCCCGACTGGGCTATGCTACCGGGTCTGGCCCCAGCCACTGGGCTCTGCATTGTTGGCTCCACTGCCAGCCTTGGCCAGGCTCACCGCTTCTCTCCCCTGTTGCTCTTTGGTCTTGCAGCATCTGTGGTCCTGCCATGTTGCTAGACCCGAGACTCCCAGACCACAAAGGTTCAACCTGTATTAACTATTTTTCACATAAGTTACTCTGTCAGTGACCATGTTTTGAAGTTGTTCACCTAAAATAGTTATTTTATGGGGGCTGACTTTATTGTTTCTAACAGGACATGACTTGCTCTTCCATTTGTAGGTTATTACAGATTTTTCAGGAATTGTAGTTTCAAAAAAAGGGACTGAAGAAGGCACTTCTGAGGAGAAAAAAGGTAAGTGGCAAACAAGCAACTAGTAGGAAGTCATTGTCAGTATAATATACCATTGCCCTCTTGGTGCATGGTCTTTTGATCTATTCAATACTTCTAGATTTTTCTTGAAAAGAAACATGGTCTGTTAAGCTTTTTATAATTAATTTTTCCCCAGAAAGCCACTTGGCCACTTTGATGTGGTGAGTTAAATTGCTAAAACTCTCACTGAGGTTTTTAGATCACATGATTTACTTCCCTTGGATAGGTTTTGAAAAACAACTAATCACTTTAATAGCATTTTGACTAAAATATCTGTCTTTATACTAAATGGGATAAAAATAATGATATTCTTAATAAATCCTACTTGTGCAATTACAAATTCAGTACTTGCATGATCCTGTGAAAATTTGCTTCCTGATGAAAGCAATTGTTTGGTTCTGAAATGTCTGCCATGCTTTTAAGCAGTTTAAGCTGAAAAATGATTTTTTAAATTAAACAAACAAACAAACCTTAGCTTGAGCTAATAGTATTTGTCTGTGGCTGAGATTGGTTTGGCAGTGAAGTCCAAACCAGGTAAAATATAAGCCTTGGTCCTGCACTTCCTTTTTCAGGCAAAACTCCTAAAAAAATCTTTTCATTACTAAACGTATAGGAGGAGAAAAATTATTATGGATCATAAAATAAATGCAGTTTATTATGCAGTGCCATATAGTTATTAGGACAAACTTGTACAATGCACTAGGAGCTTGCTTTCCCTTTTCCCCATCTCTCTACCTGTTAAAGCCCTTGTCATTGTGCTACCATTGGAAAAGATGGCCTGCTTTTCCGTAGTTAACAAAAAACTACTAATGAAATGTCGACATCAGACTAAATAGTTGGGTTTGCTGAAAACTGCTAATGAGTTTAATTGGTTCTTTGTTTCCTTTCACACGTGACAGATGTTGTGGCTGTTGTAGAGATTCAGGAGAGTCAAGTGGCGGTGATTGACTACCAAGATTTTCCAGCTGAATCCAGCACTGTTTGTAAGCAATTTAATTCTGAATCCAGTGTAAATGTGGCAGCTCTTAAAAAAATTTAAAAATCAGAAGCACAGCAGGGGGGGAGGGGAAGTGGGTGGGAGCTGGTCCCCCTGCTGTGCCTCTGCCTTTTAAATGTATTAAGAGCCTGGTGGAGCAGGGTTAAGAGCCCCAAGAGCTAACCCTGCTTTGGCTCTGCAGTTTCCTCCTTATCGAGTAGCTGATGGAAATTACATCGAATACTTGATTAGCTGATTACATGCAATTTAACATCCCTCCTGGGGGCAGTGACGAGTAGGGCAGTTTAGGAAGGCTTAATGAAAGGAGGAGAAGAAGGGGCACTGAGGACTCTGGTGCTTACTGTACCCTGCATGCTGCAGAACTTTCAACTACTGCTGAAGTCAGTAAAAATTGATGGTACTTAGTACTCTTCAGGGTTAGGTGCTTAGGTCATGAGTAGGAAATGTCTTCAAATATCAGGGGCAAGAAAGAAGTGAGTCAAGTAGGGCCTGATCAAACACTCATTGAATCAGTAGAATGATTGAGTTCCAGGGAAGTCAGTGGAAATCAGGACCGTAGGGAGAAATGTATTGAGCAAAAAGAGTATAATAGAAAGGTGTGGAGGCTGTGGTGTCACTGTTGAAAGCTGTAGTTTCAGAACTAAAGGTTGTCTTTTTTTTTTTTTTTTTTTTTTTTTATAGCTGAGAATGTTAGCTGTTCTATACCTGATGGAGTTCCAATAGACATCACAGTAAAACTAATGGTGTGCTTGGTTCACCTGAACATCCTAGAGCCTCTCAATGTAAGTAAAAAATTTGATAAATCTGTGGTAATTTTGGCAAATCACGTAATGAGGTGCTTTCACCTTCTTGTGAATGAGAATTTCAATTTGATAGTATGAGAATTTCAATTTGATAGTATGTTTTTTTACTGCTCCTTTTCTAAAATGGCTACAAAGGTAGGAAGGTCATCGTAACAGCACTACAAAAGGCATATAGGGTGGATTTTAAAAATCATAATATAGTTTCAAGTTCTTTCACATACCATCCTAATGGAGCCTTTGACAAGGTATTTGTATGTGAAGTTTGCCTTCCCCTGTCAGAGCCAAAATAACATCGTTCTTTTAGGGCAGGGTTGGAGAACTGTGGTTTTGGTTTTTTTTTTTTTTTTTCAATCAGGAGCCATTGACTCTCAGGGAAAAAATCAATTGTGGGTCATGCACAGCCCCATCGGGGGCAGAGCATGGTAGCTTGGGTTTTCCCTCTGTAGCGGACAGAAATGGTGCTCAGAGCTCCAGCCCTGCAGGGGGGCATAGAGGCTCAGAGTGGGGCCAGAAATGAGGGGCCCAGGGTACTGGAGGAGGTTCTGGGCTGGGGCAGGAGTTGAGGTGCAGGAGGCTCTGGATGGGGTGCAGGCTCTGGGAGAATGGTCTGAGGATGAAGGGTTTGGAGTTCAGGAGGGGGCTTAGGACTGGGGCAAGGGGTTAAGGTCCGGGTGTGAGGTCTGGGAGGAAGTTAGGGTGCAGGTGGGGTTTCCAATCTGGGTTAGAGGTTTGGGGTGCAGGTATGGTCTATGAGAGGGGGTTCCAGTCTGGGGCAGTGGATTAGGGGAAAGGGCTCCAGGCTGCCATTGCTTACCTGAGACAGCTACCTGCCTGACCTGGCCTCACGCTGCTCCCCGAAGCAGCCACCATATCCAGGCCCTAAGTGGAGGGGCCTGGCGGCTGGCTCTGTGTGGTGCATATTATCTGCACCCACAGGCATTGCCTCCACAGTTCTTATTGGCCAGATTGCCTGGCAATGGGAGCTCTGGAGCTAGGGCTGAGGGTAGCATGCAAAGCTTTCTTAATCTTCCCTGCACCTAGGGGTATTCTGGAGTCTCTGGCCCATAGAGTGGAGATTTGCCTCAGGCTGGATGAAATTAAGCAGTGAGCCGCGTTTCCATCCCTTATTTAGGGGTCTATCCTGAAAGTCTAATCTAATTTTTTTCCCTTTGAAATCACATAAAAGGAAGAGTTCAAGTGTCAGGATGGACCAACTATGCATGTTGTTTCCGCTATTGAATAGAAAATGTAAATAGTCTGTTGCCCTCTTCATTTTAAAGGACTAGGTCAGTAATTGTTTATGTGGCTGGTCTTAGTTATTTCATTTTTACTTGTGTGTTTTGTTTTGTTTTGTGTTTTTTGGAAAGTCCCTTTTGACCACTCTAGTGGAGCAAAATCCAGAGGATATGGGGGACTTGTACCTGGATGTTGCAGAGGCTTTTCTGGATGTTGGAGAATACAATTCAGCACTACCACTCTTGAGTGCCCTAGTTTGTTCTGAAAGATACAACTTGGCTGTAGTTTGGCTCCGGCATGCAGGTAACCACAGTGCAGTACTGCTTAACACTTCTGACTGTGGGTAGAAACTCACTTCCATATGATGCTACAGTTGGACCTCTCTGGTCCGGCACCCTTGGGACCTGACCAGTCCCGGATAAGGGAATTTGCTGGACAAGGGGAGATTCCCTGACACCAGCCCTTCAGCCCACTGCTCCTCCCTGACGCCAGCTCCTTTGGCTGGCCAGGCTGCCTGCTGGCTGAGTGGCACACAGCTCAATTGGGCTGGCCCAGACCCCCAGCTCTGCTGCCTGCTGGGTGGCACTTGACCCCGGCTGCGCTGCTTCTGCTGGGCTGCCGTGCCTCCATCCTGGCTTCCCCTCTTGGTGCCATGGCCAGGTTTTCCTTCCAGGCAGCTGTGGCTGCAGCCCCAGCTCCACTGCTGGGTGGCACATGTCCCTGGCCGTGCTGTTTCTCCTGGGCTGCTGCGGCCCCGGCCTTGCTTCCCCTCCCAGGCTACGGCGGGACCTCTGCCACTACACAGGGTATTATTGTCCTGCAGCCGCTCAGGCTGACATGGCCATGGCCAACCTTCCCCTTCTGTGCTGCCATGGTCCCGGCCCTGCTGCTGGGCAGCGGGCAGCCCCAATCATGCTCCATCACCGCCCTGGCTGGTGTGGCCCCGCCACTACCAGACTCGTGGGGCTCCCAGCTGCTGGCCCTCCGGCTCTGGGGCTCTCTCATTCGGGAATGTCCGTGGTGATGCCGGACCATGGATGTTGCTGAATGAGTGAGTCCCAGTTAAGGGAGGTGCAACCTGTGATTGCATTCTGGTGAGGTTCGTGCCTTAAAAGCCTGAAACTGAAAGGTGCTTTGCAGTGCTGAGCACCATCCTCTCCCCCTGACCTTAGGCCATTCGTTGAGAATGTCTGAACATTGATGGAGAGTTCATATGATAAATTGTCATAAATGTCTATCTGACCCTTGTTCCTTGTGTAAGAGAGCTCCCTCCAGTGTGTCCAGAAATGTTCAGATTGATTGAAACAATGAAGAGCATTGTTCACATTTCTGTTCGTGGTGATTACTGAAACATGGTGGGGTTTTTTCTTTTGAAGATTCTGCAAGTTAAAGGACACTGTTATTCCACAGGCAGAAGATACTGCATTGAGAGGTCCTATTTTTAGTAATATGTGCTCAGTGTAGCTCTATTTGTGGAGCACAATGAAAACCTGTGAGACACAAAACTAGTCACACTCGCTTCTGTCATAAGAGTGTATTATATTTGTTGGTTTTATTCCTAGAGTGCCTAAAAGCCTTGGGATACATGGAGCGTGCTGCAGAGAGTTATGCCAAAGTCGTTGATCTTGCCCCACTGCATTTGGATGCAAGAATTTCACTTTCTACACTTCAGCAACAACTGGGCCAGCCTGAGAGAGCTCTGGAGGCTTTGGAACCAATGTATGATCCAGACACACTGGCACAAGATGCTAATGCTGCCCAGCAGGTAGGTGAAAGGCTGTGCACTGTGGGGTTTTCCCTTCTTCTGCGTCTTGACTCTCTTGTCCGCAGTTCTGGTGTACATGATTCTGTTATGGCAAGAATTTATTGCTAAATGCATTTTTTGGTACACTTTCTCCATGGCATTTAAAGTAATTCTTATATATTCTGTAAATGAACTTCATAGATTTTAATGCCAGTAAGTGATGCCAGTTTGACAGTATTGGAAACTGTGGTCTTTCTTACTACAGTTTTCTAAAAATTACTTTCTTTTTTGGTACTAATATAAAACTAGCAGCTGAAAAGTCGTGTTTTTATAAACACTAAGTGTAGGTCGTGATAGTTTATGACTTAATTAACTCTGCTCAATGTTGTCTAGGAATTAAAGTTACTGCTCCATCGTTCAACGCTGTTGTATTCTCAAGGCAAAATGTATGGCTATGTGGACACTTTGCTTACTATGCTAGCAATGCTATTAAAGGTAAGTTCTTGTAGCCAAGCTTTACTGAATGTGACCAAACATGTCCTGTTTAGCCCTACTCAAAAGTATAACAAATCTGTAGAAATGATTGTAAGAGAAGTCTTACATATGCAATATCATGGTTTAATATGCCTTTAACATCAGCTGGTACCCCTGAGTCTTTCAGAGGTGTTCCCATCACAACCTCTAGGTACCTTTTTAGAAATAGGCCATTAATTTTTAATAAAAATTGTTGTTTTACTATTGTATGTGTTAAACTACTCCTGTGTCTCCTTTAGAACTGCCTATTTGTACATGACCCCTTCTTTCTTATTGGTATTTTCTCAAGTATTTTCATCTGTTGTGTTAAATGAAATATTCGTTGGGATCTTTACTGGATGATTTCAATATTGTTTCAAGTTCTGCATTACTCCTGACTGCATAGAACAATCAGAACATAGAATCATTTTTTAATCTTTGTGGTAGACAGTATTGTGCTTCATGTATCGCTCCTGTGAATGATCCTTCTCATTTGGATAGCTCAATCTAAACAGGAGCATAAAACAATGCTAAATATCGTAGGCTACGTCTACACTGGCATCCTTTTCCGGAAATGCTTAAAACGGAACAGTTTTCTGTTATAAGTATTTCCGGAAAAAGCGGAAAAAGCGCGTCTACATTGGCAGAATGCTTTTCCAGAAAAGCATCCGTGGCCAATGTAGATGCGCTTTTCCGGAAAAAAGCCCCGATCGTCATTTTCACGATGGGGCTTTTTTGCGGAAAAGACTACTGTGCTGTCTACACTGGCCCTTTTCTGGAACAGTTTTTCCGGAAAAGGACTTTTGCCTGAACAGGAGCAGCATAGTTTTTCCGGAAAAACACTGACAATTTTACAGTAGATTGTCAGTGCTTTTCTGGAAAAGCAAGCGGCCAGTGTAGACAGCTGGCAAGTTATTCCGGAAAAGCAGCTGCTTTTCCGGAATAAGTGGCCCAGTGTAGACAGAGCCTACGTACTGTTTGTGAACAGTTGTCAAGTATGCTGCTGCTTGTTATGGGATAACTGATCTGACAGCTGCTTTTGAATACAGCTAGAGCAAGACATACTGGCAACAAGATGTACAGGCAGTCCCCGGGTTACATGGATCCGACTTACATTGGATCCCTACTTACAAACGGGGTGAGGAAACCCCGCACTAGCTGCTTCACCCCAGCAGACCAGGGAGACGCGGAGCGGCTTTTCTCAGCAGACACCTCAGCTTGAGAATAAAGGACTGAGGGAAGTGAGGTGTGGGAGAATAAAACTGAGCTCTGGAGAAATGTTTGGCTAGAGTTTCCCCTACAATATGTACCAGTTCCGACTTACATACAAATTCAACTTAAGAACAAACCTACAGTCCCTATCTTGTACGTAACCCGGGGACTGCCTGTATTCGGATAATCAGAACCTTAGAATTTTTGTTCTTCATATGTTTTCCAGGTAGCAATGAACAGAGCTCAGGTGTGTTTGATATCTAGCTCCAAATCTGGGGAGAGACATCTTTACCTCATTAAGGTGTCTAGGGATAAAATCTCCGATAATGATGACCAAGAGACCGCAAACTGTGATGCAAAAGGTAAAAACTTTAAAAAATATTATTTAAATTTTCTACATACCCAAAGAATCCTGGAATTATGTTACATGCCAAATCCTCCTTCAGAATTACATGATTTTATTATGTCTGTTTCACCCTCATGCTTTGTTCATGCATTGCCTAATTTAGGCCCTTTTCCTACAGTCTTTACACTTGAAGCCAAGCAAATAACATTCACAAGTAGGGGACACTTGAATGAGTAAAACTTGAAAAATCTTTTTATGAATATGAAAGCGAGTATGTTAATGAAAGTTACTTCTATTGAGCAAAGTTTTGCCGTGAGCATTGGGACTACAGAAGCCTATATTGATGGGATTAAGAAAATCATGTTTTCCCTTCACTTTCAAGTAAGCTAATCTAATGGAAGAACCAGACAGTGTATTCGGTACTGTTGCTAAGGGAATAATAATAATTCGCTTTAGGAATACAAATATTTAAAAACAAAACAGAATATACTTTGTTAACCAGCAGACTCTGTTAACCAGCATTGCCCCCAGCTGGATAACAAAGCTGGAAATTAATAAAGTGCTGGATGGGCTGCTGACTCCGCTCCTGGGAGGAGACCGGCAAGGACTAATTTGTTATCCGGCACATTCAGTTAACTGGCAACCACCATTCCCCCTGACTACTGGATAACAAAGCTTTTGCTGTACTTTTTCCCAACCTGATTGAAATGGGACTGATTCAGACTTTGTAGTCATTTAGGATCAGCAGGTGAATGGGGAGGTTTTTAATGTGTGTTTATGTAATATTATTAGAGCAGCTTGAATTGCTGTTTTACATTCCCTGGAATTCTGAAGTTCTCACTTTAATGATTAAGGGTTAGAGTTTAAAAGCCTTGAATTTAATAAATTATGTTACGAAAGATTTCAAATACCATTGAAACATTCCACCCTTAATGCAAAAGACTATCAATTTAAAAAACAAATAAAAGCTTAGGTTGAAGTTTAACTAGTGTGTAAATTTTTAGCCCCTTTTTAAGGCTTTGATTTCTTTGACTGGTTGATTTATATTAATATTGTAGCAATATTTGCTGTGCTCACGAGTGTTCTGACGAAAGATGACTGGTGGAACCTCCTTCTGAAAGCTATATACTCTTTGTGTGACCTTTCCCGCTATGAGGAGGCCGAGCTGCTGGTGGATTCCTCATTAGAATATTACTCATTTTACGATGACAGGCAAAAGCGCAAAGAGCTGGAATACTTCGGTCTTTCAGCTGCAATTCTGGACAAGAACTTCAGAAAAGCTTACAACTATATCAGGTGAGAAGTAGTGGGCTGTGGCTGATCACAACATTGTGTTTTATAATGGTCTGGATAATGATTTCCATTGAGATTGCAGTTTCATTGCTGAGAGCATTTGCTGTGGATGTAAAATACTGAATTCCTGAATTGCACTTGGGCTGACCTTTTGTTTCTAAGAGAAACAGAATACTTATTTACTTTCAGGTTGCCTTAAAAACAGATATATTGAAACTGGGGCTTTTGGGTGTCCTTTAACTGCAGAGCCGTGTAATGCAGTAGGCTAGCTCTGTGTGCTAAGCAACTACTTGGTCATTTTGATGAAATTACTCTGTGAGCTTTCTTATATCAAGTTTGTCTTTCACTGATCTAACAGTCACTTCTGGGAAGTCCAAAGTGAAAGAAGAATCTAAAAGCAAATCATAGCTCATATAGCTTGCCCTACACCCTATTCACTCATTGATTTATTGCATATTTACTTACAGTATAGTCAATACATCTTTTTGCTCACATTTTAGGATAATGGTAATGGAGAATGTTAATAAACCACAGCTCTGGAACATCTTCAATCAAATCACCATGCATTCTCAGGATGTACGACATCATCGCTTTTGTCTTAGGTTAATGCTGAAAAATCCTGATAATCATGCACTGTGTGTCCTAAATGGGCACAATGCATTTGTATCTGGCAGTTTCAAGCATGCTCTTGGTGAGATTAACAAGTATGACATTTGGGGGGGGTGGGGGTGGGGGTGAAATGTTAATGTCCTGTACTTATTTTTACCATCAATTATCTCGTATTTTGATTATATTTTTAAGGTAGAATGAATGTGTCCCTTTAGATAGGAAAAAATATTTATTTCCTACTTCAATAAATGAAGTACAGTTCTTAGTGGCATAGACATTTTTATACTATTTAACCATTTGGTAGCAGAATATTTTAGTATTACTGAATGGACTAGTTTATGAAAACTAGGTTGGCAATGTTTCAATGTTTGGTTTAAAAGATATATAATATACATGATTTAGAAGTTTTCTAACTAACCAGTAAAAATGAAAATGAAATGATTACACTAAGAAGAAAACAGGCCAATTTCATCAGCAGTCTATGACAATTGTGAAGTTTTTAAGTTTGTTCAAAGAAATATCGCAAGGTTAATTTAAAAATTTGTCATCAGCCCATGCAAATATATTTACAAGCAATACAGTTAAAATGAACAAGAAGTTGCCATCTTGCCAGACTTCTTACATATATTAGGATAGTATAATTTCAGGATCTGATCACTGTCATGCAAAGTGCAAAGGTGCAAAACTAGTTTGTTTTCAGCATGTAAGAGAACTCAACATCCTTGTTGGCATTTTTGTAATTTTCAGTAGAGTGACCAAGGACTGGAGCTTGAATCCACCCTCCCACCCTCAGAGTGGGTTAGTAGTACCTGCAGGTTAATGTCGAGGCACATTGGAGGTGGTGAAGTGAGGGGGTTGCATTGCCATTAGCCATGTCTTATCTGTATTGTTAATAACCATAAGGGATCCAGAATTCTCAAAGTAACTATTGATTTTTAAATGCCTCCATTTTTAGGTGTCTAACTTGAGACTTCAAATAGGCCTGACTTTCAGAAAGTGATAAGCACCCACTCTCTGAAAATCAGATGTCTTTAAAGAATCAAAAGTTGGGCACCCAAAATTACCTCGTTCTAAAGTCTTGGGTGAGATCCCTGTCCTGTTGAAGTTCATGGGAGTTTTGCCATTGACCTCAGTGGAATTAGTATTTCACCCTTCTTAGACTTCTAGGCTGACTAATATCGTTCTCAGCACTAATATTAAAAAAAAAATGTGCAGACTGAACCTTTTGAAGTTAAAACCTATGTTCAAGTGCTATTTTCTGTATAAAAAGACAGTAGGGAGATAAGTTTTTCTCTCGACAAGGCACTCAGTGAGAAACACTGACAGTGTTCTGAAGTATGGTAGTCTTTACTCTCTTATCTAACGAGTATTAACCAGACTTTAAAAGAAATATTCAGGAGAGACCTAGATTTTGTTGTTGTTGTTGGTGTAAATCAGTTTATACCCTCTGGGGAACTGGCCTGTGAACTGTATAAAAATAGTTAATTTCACCGTTTTGTTCATTGTACACATTTCTGACATACCATTTAACTTCTTTTCTGGTCTTAAATAGTACAGATCTTTATTATAGGTTGAACCTCTGGTCCAGCACACTTGGGACCTGACTGGTGCCAAACCAGCACATTTGCTGAACCATGGGCGCATTAGCAACACTTCCACTGCTTACTGGGCTGTTAGAAGACATTTAGGGGTAAATTAGAGCTAAATAATAGCACAGAACACCGAGAACCAGGACTGCTGTCTCTAAACAAACTTTATGGGAACTTAGGCCACGCCCATGATCAGTGGCCTAACTAAAATCATGCTGGACCAGAGAGTTCAATACTAGAGAGGTTCAACCTGTAGTGTAAATCCTTTGTTTTTTTTTAACTTGCTAGAAAGAATCACTCCTTTCCTGCTTTGGTGCAGTTATTTTGAAATCTGATTCTCTTTCTTGTTTCCTTCCTTTTTTCAGTTCATGCTTCCAAAAAAGTGTTGGGGTTTTTGAAAAAAATGAAATGCATTTTTAGAGCAAGTGTCAGATCATTTACTCCTTTTTCTCCTAGGACAATATGTGCAAGCCTTCCGTATTAACCCAAATGAACCTCTGTACAGCCTTTGTATAGGCTTAACTTTCATCCACATGGCCTCTCAGAAGTATGTGTTAAAAAGGCATGCTCTTCTGGTACAGGTGAGTTGTTTTGTTCTCCTTTGTGCACTGTATATGATGTCATTTAGCTCTGGCTTGGCTCACACAATTACAGCTCTGACGCTCTATTGATTTAGGGTAGGATTTTCAAAACCCTCCAAGTACATTAGGAGCACATGTCCCAGGGACAATCAGTTTGTGCTCTTAAGTCACATCAGTTCATGAAAAATCTCCCCTTTGTGAATAAAAGCAATTATGTTCATTTTGTTTCTGTGGCAAGGCTATATTTGCATCTATTTAGGCAATTGCCGGGTATTGGTGAAAATATTAATTTCAACTTTACTAGCTTTAGTACGGGTATTTTTATTCGTCTGAAACTTTGTGCTGGAAGTGAAGCATTCACTACTCTGCTTTTAAAAACAAGAATCCCTCACCCAAACAAGGAGCAGGAACACCACGGTTATGTCTACATTCGCGGCTTCTTGCGCAAGTATGGCCATTCTTGTGCAATAATCTGCAGAGCGTCCACACTGCCTGCCCACTCTTGCACAAGGAAATTTACAGTACAGCGTGGTAAGAGGGCTTCTTGCGCAAGATCTATGCTCTTTTTTAACAGGTGTAAGCCCTCTTGCACAGGAGCTCTTGCACAAGTGGGCAGTGTGGACGCTCGGCAGGGATTTCTTGCGCAAGAAAGCCCGATGGCTAAAATGGCCACCAGAGTTTTCTTGCGCAAGAGAGCGTCCACACTGCCATGGATGCTTTTGCGCAAAAGCACAGTTTGCACAGGCAGTGTGGACGTTTTCTTGTGCAAGACTTCTTGTGCAAGATGTTCTTGCGCAAGAAGCCGCGAGTGTAGACATAGCCCACCTGATCAAGTTGGCCACACCTGATCTAAGCTTCCTATCTCTGTTCCTCTCAGTCTTCTTTTAAGTATATACTTGAAAAAGTCACCTTCTGATGATGCCTTTCTTTTTGGGTCCCTGCTTTTCTCATTTTGTGTTCACTCATGTTGAGGGTTTTTAATCTTTTTGCTTGATTTTTAGCTTGTTTGTCCAATACTTTACCCAGACAATGACATCGTGGTGACCCTGATTATCATGAGTAGCTGCTAGAGTCTGTGTTAATACCTTACCCTGGAAGGCGCTATTATCAATAGCATCTATGGAAATCAAGCCTTCTGATTACTGCAGAGGGAGCACGTTCGTGTCTGACATCAAAATGAGACACAACTCTTGTCATTAGAGCACAGTCGTTTGTGTTCCATTTTCTGCCTCTTCCTGAACCCAGTTTGATTTTTCCCGAGACTCTTTCAGTTGAGAGAGAGAGAGAAACAGTTTGGTGAATTTTCATCTGAAATTGAATGAGTTTTCCTTGGGAGGTGATACTGGTCTTAGTAACACCATTCAGCATTATAGTACTGCATTAGCTAATAAATGCTCATAGCAATGAGCAAGGCGGGCAGATATACTCTCTTTCATCTTATAGATGAGAAACTGAGGCACATAGGTTAAATGACTTTCCCAAAACTACTCCATAAGTCAGTTGCAGAAGTGGGGACATTTGATATTTTTTATTGGGCAAGTGGGGGGCCCAGAGGAAGAGGAGGGGAGAGCAAGGGGGGGGGGGGCAGTCAGCTCCCAGCTGGGAAGGTTCCTACAGCAGTTTCTCTTTGCTCTTGGTGCCTCATACCAAGATCTTCTTCCTCTCCTTCCCCATCCCCATCTAGACGGGATCTTGTGGAAAATAAGCCCTTTTCCGGAAGATCCCTTATTCCTACTTTCAAGTAGGGCTTATTTTCCGCAAGATCCCGTCTAGACTGGCGCTTTTCTCCGGCAAAACCCCGAGCCGGAAAAAAGCGGCAGCTATGTTCATGCAAATGCCGCGGGGGATATTTAAATCCCCCATGGAATTTGCAATTCCGAAGTGTCTCATTAGCATCCCTTTTCCGGAGAAGGGTGCCAGTGTAGACACAGTCCAGGAGTATTAAGCACCTGGGCCTCCACCCCCAGTTCTACTCTCCTGGTAGAGCTGAAAGTAGTTCCTAGTTTGAGGACTTGGCCTCATTCCTGAAGCTAGTATTCATTAGACATCTCTTCACCTCGATGCTTGTAATCACTTGTTGCAAATAGTCAAACTAAAAATGACTTTTCTTCCTAGTACTGCTTTATATTTTTGAGCTACAATGTTCTGTAAAGGTGTACGTAGTTGGAATAATTTTGGAAAAGAGACTGAGGCTATATATTACCAAGGACTCTGCTGTTTAAAGCCTGTCTTTTAATCAGGACAAAACAGGCACATAAGAACCAATGTAAAACAAAGTAGAGAATAATGAATCTTTTAGAACAGAAGGCTTATCTATTAGCTAAACCTCAGGACGGGGAATTACAAGTTCTAGCTCTGCCAGACTTGGGTTCCTGTTGGAAAACTCTCATTGACTCTGTAGAAGCATGATTTTGTCTTTTTATTGAGGACTGACCATTACTTTAGCCTTAGCTGTTTGTTCCTGTCCTTTCTTTTTTGTAATTGGCTAGTTGGCATATTTTAATCCATCCACACTGTTTGCAGGAGCTTTATAGGTAGCACTGGGCTTTGGAAGGGAATGCATTTGTGTTCCAGAAGCAGTACTATGATGTAGTAAGGCTTGAAACTAGAAAAGACTGTATTTTACAATGTTTCCTTTAATGCCATGAAAAGAAGAGATCTGAAAGAGTAATTCAGATTCATTTGGGGCAGGTTCAAATTCACATGTAGCTAAAGAACATGAGTGAGCAAGTGTTTAAAAAATAACAAGAATTGGTGTTCTAAAGAGTCCTATGTGTTTTGTGCATAGGGTTTCTCTTTCCTTCACCGGTACCTTGACCTCCGTGGACCATGCCAAGAATCTTTCTATAACCTAGGTCGTGGCCTTCATCAACTGGGACTATTGCATTTGGCCATTCATTATTACCGAAAGGCACTTGAGCTTCCCCCTCTCATCCTAGAGGTATCATATGGTTAAAACATTTGAATTATATAAGTAAAATCAGATTAGCATTACTATTTTAACCAGAAGTAAAATCAGTGCACATTAGCATCTGTAGTTTATATTTCCATTGAATAACCCCTACTATAATATTTGTCAATTTTATTTTATTATCTGGCTGGTGGTAGCAACTGCAAGAAAATGAAGAACTTAGCTACCTGAATAAAGAAGTGTATCTAAGCACCATTTTAAGTCAGAATAATGTTAACTATAATTGGCATTTTCTCTATTTCGAGTGTGAAGATTTAATATACAGAATTCCAGTGTAACTATCTTATGTCATGGGAATGAAATGAGTAGCTAGATAAAGACTTGCCTATGTGTATTATTACACTGATTTTTTTCATGTGTTTTAAGATAATTTATGGTATGGCATCTATGCAAGCAAGCAAATGATTGTTTTTTAAATTCTTTCAGGGAATAGAAGCTGACCAGACAGACTTGCGAAGAGATGTTGCCTTCAATTTGTCCCTAATTTATCAGAGTAGTGGAAATTTAAGAATGGCTCAAAAGCTATTGTATACATATGGAATTGTATGATGGACTTTGTGGCACCTGTTTATGACTAAGAGCCTGCTAGGAAAATTCTATTTGTCATTTCCTTTGTAACATTGAGACTCTCATGCGTTACACGTCAATGGAGAGATCTGTTAAAGATATGTACATATATTTTTCTAAGCTGATCCAGCTGGGATTGGATCAATGTTGTAACAATTACTGTATATAGTTTGCTGCCTGAACTTTTCAGCTGGGTTTTTTTTTTTTCCCCTATTTCCTGGAAGAGCAAAATGCAACAAGAAGGCTTCTGTGTGCAGATTCTCCAGATATACTTGGATGTTGTTTCAGCACATTATTGATACATTTTTGTGAAGCTTCAGGTTGGTGCTGGTATGCAGAATTTTCAACTGAATAAAGGACTAAAAATGACACATTTGAAATTTTAAAGTAGTATTTAACTGGTTTCTGATACAATTCCATTCTGGTGCTAGATTATATTTGCCATGTATTGTATAAAAAAAGAAAATGGTTACTTACTGCTTACGACTGTTATTTGAGATGTGTTGCTTTTGTCCATTCCATGTAGGTGTGACCACAGTTGCCAAACGTGGGTAAAACCTGTCCCGCCCCCTCTGAAATGGTGGACCATGGGGTCTGTGAAAAGCGTCTTACCCCAGGAGCCCAAGTGAAATGTGGAGACAGCAGCTAGGTGAACATTGATGGAAGAGGATGACAGCCCCTGGATCCTGCGGTCAAAGAGGTAGTCCAGGACCAATAGGACTGGAGTGTCCATGGGACACATGCCTTGCTGAGCAGCCTAGATAGAAAAATGCTTCCCTTTGGCTAGGTAAGTGGAGGGCTTTCTATTCTCTAGTAAGAGCTCCTGCAGTTGTTCCAAGCACTGCAGCTCCAGAGCTGTCACCCATGGAGCTTCCACGCTATGAGATGCGGGGACTGTAGGTTTGGATAGCGGAACCTGCTGAAATCCTGCATTATCACCTCCAGGTACGGGGAAGGGCCATTGGCCTCTCGCTGGAGAGGATGATCATTGATGTGAACCAATGCTGCCTCAGCCATGCCAGCACTATGAGGCTGAAGGAAGCTCTGAACTCTCATACCCTCAGGATCACCTTGTGTACCAGAGGAAATGGGGGTAATATGTAAAGCACTGGAACGGCATTCCACAGTGCCCCATGGAGAAGCAGACCCAGGGACTCCTTTCTGTTCTGGTGAGTCTCAAAGAGGTCCAGTTGGGGAAATCCCCACCTGTGGAAGATGTGGAGGGCAACGTCCACCCTGAGGGACCACTCGTGGCTCGCAAAGGACATGCTGAACTGGTCCATGAGGGTGTTCTGGGTCCTGGAAAAGGAGGAGGCTATTGTTTAAATACTCTCTCTGAAACTGATCCCAGAACCAAAGGGCTTCAAAATACAAGGGAGGAGAACGAACACTACCCTGATTGTTTTTGTAGAAAAATGCTGTCGTATTGGTGGAAGAGAAGAGACTTGCCCCTGAGGAGGGGGAGGAACAGCTGACCTGTGAGATGGGCTGTTCATAACTCCCGGATGTTTGTGTGTAGGGAGAGTTCCTCCTGGGACCACTTACCTTGCATCCTCATGTCCCCAATATGGGCTCTCCATGTAGTGTCGGATGCATCTGTTGCTAGCTTGACTGATGGCAGTGCTGGGAAAATGGGATTCCCGTGCAGACCGCTTCCTCCTGGAGCCACCAGTCCAAGGAGCATAGGATGCTGGGAGGAACAGTCACCACCCTGTACCATGGGTGGGAGGACAGGATGTACACCCAAGCCAGCCACAGCTATAATGGTAATGGGCTCAGGGTTGGGGCATGTGGAGGGTGCAGGAGTGTTATGATGCTGTGGAAAGATGGGGGCTGGGCCCCAATTGGGGCCTTGTTGGCCAGACTTCATTTTTAAATAAAGTAAAATATTATAGTCAACATGAAAGGTATCAACATTGTCTTTATTTATGGCAGGAGTGGGGAACAATTCTGGGTTAGGGGCCGCTGACCCACAGAAAAATCCATCAGGGACCCCAAAAGTAAAAAAAACCCTCCAGAAACCCCCAACTCTCACTGATGTAGCTCCCTGGCCAGACTTCATTTTTAAATAAAGTAAAATATTATAGTCAACATGAAAGGTATCAACATTGTCTTTATTTATGGCAGGAGTGGGGAACAATTCTGGGTTAGGGGCCGCTGACCCACAGAAAAATCCATCAGGGACCCCAAAAGTAAAAAAAACCCTCCAGAAACCCCCAACTCTCACTGATGTAGCTCCCTACTGAAACACTTCACACTCCTGGTGCTCCATAGTGGGGGGAGGGGCAGGAAAGACTTAAGTTCAAGGCCTCAAGCTAGATTTTCTTTTCTGGGGTTCCAGGGTTAGTAGATTTTCTGGGCCCCAATAGGCTCTGGGGTGGGGCCAAGAATGAGGGGTTAAGTGTGTGGGACAGGGCTGCCAGTCAATGGGATAGGGATGGGAGTGCAGGATCTGGGCAGGAGGAGAGGGGTAAGGGGGCGAGGTCTGGTCGGGGCAGACTACTTGGGTAGGGAGCAGGAGTGGGTTGGGATCAGGCGGCCTGGCTAAGGGGGATTCTGGCCAGGGAACTGGGGGCAGAGGTGTTTGGCTGGCGGGGTGGGGGGCAGCGAGTGAGGATGCTGGGGTCTGGGCATAGGGCACTTACTTGTGTTCGTGCTGCATGGGAGGTACCATGTAACACGGCCTCCCCGTTCCCATTCCCTAGAAGCCCGCAGTAAGTATTTGCAGGGGAAGCTTCCAGAGAAGTGTTTCCTAGGGGACAGAAAAGGGCAGTGCACATGGAGCCATTTTTCTCTGTTTCCTGCATGCTGAGGGAGGGAAAAGAGCAGTGCACCCAGACACGTTTTGCTCCACTTGTTCCCTGCATGCCAGATCCAATGGGAAGGATCAGGGCTTTTTTCCCCCCTGCAGGAAGCCAGCACTGGCATTCCAGTCTTGCTGGGGCCAAAGGCTGTAGCAGCAGTGCTGGCTCCCTACAATGGGGGGAGCTGTGGAGTGGGGCTAAGCTGGGGCTGCAGCAGAGCCCTAGTGAGCCATATTTGACTTCCAAGCCATAGGTTGCCAACTCCTGCTATAGACTGTGCCAAGTGTCTCACCGCACTCAGTCCTAAACACCTCGGCTGTGTCTACACTGGCACCCTTTCCGGAAAAGGGATGCTAATGAGACACTTCGGAATTGCAAATTCCACGGGGGATTTAAACATCCCCCGCGGCATTTGCATGAACATGGCTGCCGCTTTTTTCCGGCTCGGGGTTTTGCTGGAGAAAAGCGCCAGTCTAGACGGGATCTTGCGGAAAATAAGCCCTTTTCCGGAAGATCCCTTATTCCTACTTTCAAGTAGGGCTTATTTTCCGCAAGATCCCGTCTAGACTGGCGCTTTTCTCTGGCAAAACCCCGAGCTGGAAAAAAGAGGCAGCCATGTTCATGCAAATGCCGCGGGGGATATTTAAATCCCCCGTAGAATTTGCAATTCTGAATTGTCTCATTAGCATCCCTTTTCCGGAAAGGGTGCCAATGTAGACACAGCCTTCAAGTCAAGTGCTTATTGTGTTCTTGTTTAAAAGAAATAATAGGCTGCATACACTACGGAGCAGAATGACAAGTTGCAAATACTGTAAAAATTAAAGCAGATTTAATAACTATTTAAATACAAAATCAGCATATTAGATATCTCTACAAAGCAATCACACACACACACACACACACACACACACACACACACACACACACACACACACTCTCTCTCTCTCTCTCTCTCTCTCTCTCTCTCTCTCTCTCTACTCTACTGGCTTATATCTGTGATAATCTGGCCTGCGGAAAGGACTTGCCCCTGCCCACTAATCAGTAAAAGAATGGCTCACTGGTAAGCAACACCTCCTACTAAAGGAAACTGGATGTAGCAGTCTCCCTGGCTGCTGGACGGTACCTCATAGCATCTCTTTCCAGCTAAAGGGAAGTGTGTTTTCTGGTATTAAGAGTTATCCATACAGTTCACTAGATCAGACTGGTGCAGTGGGAGGTAAAGCAGTCAGTGCCACTCTAACTTAGTTTGGGCTTCCAAACTAGTCCTTGGGCTACAGTTAGCAGAGATACACTCACTACTTATGCTGACCTGAGAGGACTAAGAGAGGCGAACAGGGCTGTGGAACAAAATCCCATACATAGGCTCATTTTAACCTGTCATTAAGTGAGGTGAGATGCAGAAACTCAGCTTACCACTGTTAGGTTGGGAAGAGGAACAAGGTATTGAAAACTTAGGAATTTCAGCAACATAATAGGATAAGGCCACTGAAGTTAATTAAAGATACCTATCCGCTTTATTAGGTTTCCAAATCAAGTTCTTTATCACTAAGGGATTTTCACTGACATCAATGGCAAAATGCTGAGTAACAGCACTAGTGGCAGGAGCAGGCCCTGGCAGCTGTCATACAATCCTAAGGACAGTATAAATTAAAATGGATGAGATGATTATTTGCTAAGCTCCAGCAATATGCTTGGCCCTGTACACATCACAGAGGAAGGCATAGCCTCTGACTCACAGAGTTTCAAACTAGCCCCACAGAAACAAATGGATCAGAGAACTGGAGGAAGCCTAGCAAACAGCTCTTCAATTATTAAATTTAAAAAACTAGGGCTGTGTCTACATTGGCACCCTTTCCGGAAAAGGGATGCTAATGAGACAATTCAGAATTGCAAATTCTACGGGGGATTTAAATATCCCCCGCGGCATTTGCATGAACATGGCTGCCTCTTTTTTCCAGCTCGGGGTTTTGCCAGAGAAAAGCGCCAGTCTAGACGGGATCTTGCGGAAAATAAAGCCTTTTCTGAAAGATCCTTTATTCCTCTTAAAATCAGGAATAAGGGATCTTCTGGAAAAGGCTTTAATTTCCGAAAGATCCCATCTAGACTGACGCTTTTCTCCGGCAAAGCCCCGAGCCAGAATAAAGCGGCAGCCATGTTCATGCAAATGCTGCGGTGGATATTTAAATCCCCTGCGGCATTTGCAATTCCGAAGTGTCCCATTAGCATCCCTTTTCTGGAAAAGGGTGCCAATGTAGACACAGCCTAGGTGTATAACAGCACATCTGATGTAGCTGGGTTACAGTATAAGGGTCTTAAGGGAATCTGAGTTACTCTTAAGTGTGCATTAATTGAACAGTGCATGAAAATTGTTTGCTTCCATATAATAAGATGAATAGTTAAAGTCTTAACACTGCAAGTACTGGGCTGTGTCTACACTGGCATGAATTTCCGGAAATGCTTAAAATACTATTCCCTTTTCAGTTTTTCCGGAAAAGGAGCGTCTACATTTCGTGATCGGGGCTTTTTTCCGGCAAAGACTACTGGGCTGTCTACACTGGCCCTTTTCCGGAACAGTGTTCCGGAATAAGGACTTATGCCCGAGCGGGAGCAGAATAGTTTTTCCGGAATAGCGGCTGATTTTGTACAGTAGAGCATCGTTGCTTTTCCAGAAATTCAAGGGCCAGTGTAGACAGCTCGCAGCTTATTCCGGAAAAGCGGCTGATTTTCCGGAATAAGTGGCCCAGTGTAGACACAGTCCTGGTGTATAGCACCTGTTTTGACCACCTCCTGGCCCTTTAGGCTACTTGTTCCAAGGTGCAGCAGAATTAAATCTATTAAATCGCAGACTACCAATAGTGCAAGGTGTTCTAGCTGGCAGCCTGTCACACCCATACGAAGCTGTTTCCAGCAACAGAGCCTTAAGCAAAGCCAGGGCTCCTGCAACTTCCACAGAGCATTGTCCTCCTATGATTCACAGGTCTGTGACTCCTTTTATTGCTACTAACGGTAGCTGTTCCCATGAGCTAAAAAGGGTTCCTCAATGTACTGGTCAGACAACCATCAGTATCCAACAGTAGACAATTGTCCTGTTTCAGTAAGTTTACCATTGCTAGTCTACAAATCCAGCACACCAACCTGGATAAGCAGAACCGCAGCACTGCAATCCTAGCTCTCAATAATAATGAATCCTGCTCACTTTACAGGGTCATTCTAACCAGCTACCCACCTATGAGCTGCTAAAACACAAATGAAAGATGTGACTGGAGACAAAAATCTAGCACATAAATGGGACTTGTACAAGAAGCTTTAGAGAGGAATAATTTCTTTGCTATAAACTATGTTTTTGCTAATCTTGGTTCCATGATGAAACATTTAAAGAAACTAGTCAGATTCAGAGACCATGCTAGGATGGGGGAAATGGAAATCTGCATTACAAAATGATACATGCTAACAAATGTCAGACAGGTGAGACTTGTTAGCTAAGGTGAACTGGAGTACATAAAACCTGTCTGCACTGATCTCCCATCAGCCAGCCAGAAAATGTTAATTTTATTTGGAGGGTCTTCCTCTTTGATACAGAGTAGATCCAGTACATATAGGATCTCAGCTTACACCCACTCAGAAATCTTCTGAAATATGCAGATACCTATAGATCAAGATGCTTCAATCTTAGTTTTTCCAGCATGTGAAGATCTGATCTGAACTGTGGCACTCACAGGTGCAGGGTGGTATGGCACTTAGAATCTCCTGGGTTACATGACATCACTTCCTGTCTAGCTCAGCCTGGTACTTCCTGGAGATGAATTTGAGCTGCTGTTTTGTCTCCCAGCGATTCACAGAGGCTTGGGTAGGGAGTTTCACAGTCTTTTCCTTTTCCATCTGTTAGAGGACAGGGTACTGGATGAAAGCTGATCCCTGTTTCTCTCACCAGCAGAAAATACAGAGATTGCAGCAGCTCAAGATACCATCTTTACAGCCAAATCAGATAGATTTGAACCCCCTGTGAAAGTAGAAAGAATTATACTGTAAGAAAAAGATGAATTGTGCTGTAATAACTGAATAAGTTGAAGGAATTCTGTTTGTCTTTTTAAGAGGAAGAAGAAAAGTATGTTAATGTTGATTGTAGGTATGCAGATCAAGGTGCTAGCCAATTTGGGCCTGAGTTTAACAGGAAAAGAAACATTAAGTGTTAGGAAACAATTCCAGATAATCAGGGAGATATAGCCAGGAGATTGCTGTGTGCTTAATATTGAAATGAAGAGTACTTGAGTAGCCTCACACTAATTATGTGAAGTTTTGCCCCCCTTTTAATCCTGTTAATTTTGGCTTTCTTTTGACTGTATAAATCAAGAGGTTTGAACCTTGTATGGTACTCACATTTTCTCCATGCATTTTAGCAAAGCTTTGCTGAAATAAACAGAGCAGTCTGCCAAATCTGTGAGTCCTGTCTGACTTTGACAATTTGGAGGTCCCACTGAGATGGCAACCGTCTTCGCTGAGGCTGTGTGATCCCTGACTGTTTTGCAGGATGACCGTGGTAGCCGGCACCTGGGCATTTGGCCCGAGCGGTCCTCCGCCAGAACGGAAAGGTGCACAGCCACAGCGAAGTCTACGCCATCGAACCTGTTGGTTTCTGCTCTGTTCTGGTAGGGATCCCGGGATCTAACATCAGGACTCTGGTCAGGTAATTATTTTGTCCGGACTGAGGACTGTCTTGTCTCTGTGTCTATCCGTCTTCCCTGTGGTGTGAGTGAGTCTGGGAGCCATCCCTGTCCAGGGACTGGCCGACCAAGGGGCTCCTGTCCCCGCGGTCTGTGTGACTGGAATCTGCACAATCGCAGCCGCACCGCACCTTGGATAAAATCCTTGGAGTGAACGCAAGGGCGATTGAGGCAGTAGCCTGTGGGCTTCTTTTGTGTGTTGCACTGGGCACCGCTCTGACGAACCCGAATTTCCTCCTTGTGTGATTGGTGTATGAAGTCCTCCTGTATGGGTAACTAGACGTCTAAGCAGGGATAGTTCCCTAAAGGGACCCTGGCTCAGTTTATATATTTTAGAAAGGGTCCGGACTCCTGTAAATTTCTGGAAAAATGATCTAGATTAACTCTGGGGGGATCCCAAAACTCAGTGGCCACTGTTAGGATCTTGGAACAAAGACCAAGTGGACGTCTTAAAAGACAAACTTGGCCTTCCCAAAACTAAATTGGCTAGAGGAGAGGTAGATTGCTTCATGCAGTGGTGGGACGAGGCAAATCTTAGATGGACTGAATCGAAGCTTGCCTCCCTAAAAAATTCTAATTGTAAGTAAAAAGCTTTATTGGAAACCTCCTCTCCCACCACCAGACCAAGTGCTTCCCTTTACCCCATCCTCCGAGAAGACTCAGACCGGTCCCACTTGGAGCTATAAACCCTGGACCCACACGGAGTTCCACTCAATTGTAAAAGGTTTTCCAAAGCCCCAGGAAAACCCTACCAAATTCGCAGAATCCTCTGAAGCAGACCTCCTGCAACTGTGTAAGCTACTTATAACCCCTAGCAAGCAAGCAAAAAAAAATGGCTCCTGATAGCAAATTGGCTCACCACTGAGCATCATTCTAATTTGCCAGACACTGGTCCTGACGCTGCCTACTGGAACAAATGTAAGAATCAAGGTAAGTGCCTGCATGAGGCCATTCCCCAAGTATGGACTCCAAAAACCAATTGGACGGCCATACATTGCCGTAAACAGCAACAGAGAGAAAACCCGGGCAACTATCACACAGACTGACTGATGGTTTTTTTTTTCCTGCAACATTCTGGTATACAGCGACCAGGTGAAAATGGACAGGGCGCCCTGGCGCATGCGTTTGTTATTGGCCTCCTATCTGCTATTAGCAGTATGTTAAAGCAAATAAGTGTTGTACGGGAGGCCAAGACTATGGACAAATTGCAAGCAGTGGCAGAGCATTGCCACCAAACTCTAAGGCTGTGTCTAGACTACATGCCTCTGTCGGCAAAGACGGACAAAGGCAAATGAAGCCGCGATTTAAATGATTGCGGCTTCATTTACATTTACATGGCTGCTGCGCTGAGCCGACAAACAGCTGATCAGCTGTTTGTCGGCTCACGCGCTAGTCTGGACGTTCCCCCTGCCGACATCAAAGCCTTTTGTCGGCAGCCCCGTTATGTATGGCACTCGCATTTTCTGGGTGCATTTAGCAGAGCGGCTTTGCTAATAAACAGAGCAGTTTGACAAATGTGTGAGTCCTGTCTTTGACAATAGCTATCTGGAATTTGCACAGCTTTAACAAAGGTTATGACATCTCCATACAAAGCAAAGTAAGGAGAACTGGCTGTACAGAATTGTGTGTCAGGAGGGGAATGGCAGCAGTCATGCAGAAGAGCAAGAGAGGAAGGCATGCAACAGCTACTAGTTTTCAATACAGGTGTTTTTTGGAGGTAGGGAGTTCACTCAGACTTGAAATATAGTTGAAAAGGAGCAGGATAAGGAAGTGGAGAGAAAGGGGCTCCCTTGTTCATCTTCTGTGCCCACCTGGCCCTAGTAGGTTAATTAAATGTCATTTGTCATATGCACATCATGTGAAACAGCACCAGGCAGTGAGAGAACAAAGGCTAATTAGTATTTTTCTGACCCAAAATGATGCTAGTTGGGCTGAGAAAGATGTGGGATGATGGGAACTGAAGAAAATAAACAGGGCTTCAGAAACCAAAGTTCTGATGGTCTCCTTTAACTTTTTAAAGAAGCGAGATAGAAAAGATGGGGAAAGTTTGGTCTGAGGCCTTCTCCTTTGAGGAGGGGAAGTTTTGTTTTGTAGTACACATGACTTCCAAATCTCACAATGGGGCAGAGTTTTCTTACAGTGCTTCAGAGATTGTTTCCTACCCATGTTCTATGCATCCAAACAGAACAAGTTTGGCTTTCTTCTAGTACTGCCACTCATCTCTGCACAGGAAACTTCTGTTACAGTGCCTTGCTATTACCTTGACTTCAGCAAGTACCAGCATAGTCTGCCCTGCAACATCACTGCCTGGCTGTACTAATATCTTTGTTCCTCACATACACAGGAAACTCTACTACAGGCTGTTTGTTCCCTGTTCTTCATCCTCTCATTAATTACCTCTTTGCCATAGTTCCCTTCACTGGGAATATTCTGCTGTTTGTTTTTCATTAGCTCTAGCTGCAGGCTGTCAAACTTAGATTTGAACCAGCGGTGAGCTTCCTCCAGGTTAGCAGTGATCTGAGGGAGAGAGTAGTGATTAGAGTCAGAAAGAGAACTGTGAGCATTTCAAACTTCTGGGCTCCACAGTGGACAGGCAGGATTCCAAATACAGGCTTCTTTTAAATCTCCCATGTCTATGTAAGTGTAGAGCAAATTACTTGAGCATCCTCGCCTCCTTCCTGCAACATCATAGAGGATGTGGAAAGGTCCACCCTGCAGTGCTGTCCCCCCTTAACTCACTAAGCCTCTCATTAGCACTAGCCCAAGAGAAGACAATTCTAACTGGAGGGAAAAGCATCAAGAACGTGGTAGAGGAAGAGTATAAAATGGAGGCTAACTACAGCAACCCACTGAAGAAACATGGGAGAGCATGGTCTTTGCTTGGTAATGTGCGGGTACCAGCCTCATTTAAAGAAAAAATACTGTAAAATTACCATTCCAACTATGTTAGCAATTTATTTCAAGAACTCTTAAGTATAATCCTATAATACTCTTGCTGCTACCAAGAGTAGAGTTTGAATTGAAAGGTCCTTGGCTACTTACTCCCTTACCTATATTGCACACCTCCCTTGTAAAATAACTACAGTACTCTACAATTTGGAACCAAATCACTGTAGTAACACTCCTGAAAGGTACTGTGCTTTGGACTATTACTGTGCAATACTGTCAGCTTTCAATAAGCAAAGAGGTGCATAGGTGAAATATGAATCACCTTGTAAGAGAAGCTGTTTGGAGTAATGTCATTCAAAATGGTACAACACAACAGCTCACATACTGCTTAATGGTGATGACAGTGCAGGTTGACATAAGCCATTGAACCAGGTGGAAACTAATAAAGAGAACTTCTTACTGGCCCAACTCAACTATGATCATTTGTGTACCAGGCTATTAAGAGCTCTAATAGAAGAGACTGGAAAAACATCAGTCAATTGCCATGAGGAGAAATAAACTGTTTTTTGGGTCATGCACTGAGGGCCCCTAAGTGTTAAGAGCAGGCCTTTGATGAGGTGGAAAGTAAAGTACAGTCACAGATCTTGTCATCCTAAAGGAAGGATAATTCTAGCTTTGTACCAGATGATAGATATCTTCTTTCCCACCATTGTACTCACCTGTTCTGATTCTACACTGGCTTCTTTCAGTTTCTGCTCAGTTTCCTCTTTGCATTTCTTCAAGTGTTTGACTGTATCTTCTAGCTTCTGGAGAGAGAAAAGTAACAACCCCATGCAGGCAACAACACAAACCACTTCTGTATAACAAAATGAGCAGGAATATAGACTGGAAACTTCAGTAGAATAACTCCCAGCCCAATAGGTGAAATATTACAATGTTCTAATAAGCAGCTATATAAGGCCCCTTGGAATAGGAAATCACGAGCACCCTCCATCAGCAATAGGACCCTACAGATGTGGCCGGGCAACATGTTCAGAGGCAATACATATTCCTCTCCCCTGGACTGGATCATTCAGCACAGATCATGCTGTATGTCCAAGGCTGGATTTTACCTGACACTGGTTCTCTAGTTGCTGCCGCACTTTCTGCTCCATTTCCAGCTGCGTCTCCAGCTGCCTGTTCTGTGTCGCCACTTCATGCTGATTTTTGGCCAAGGTCTGCATATCACTCTGAAGACTTGTTAACTCGGTCATGAATTTCTGGATGCTTAGTGCCTAGAGATGGCATAAAAATGAGATCTCAGTGACTTCATGCAGATTCTACTTTTACAGAGAGGGGAAGTTGTATAGTGGGCCCTACCTGCTCATAGTTTTTCTTCTGATACTGCTCCTTGATCAGCTCCATTTGCTTCAGCTCAGATTCAATCTCCTGAAAATAATTTTAAATTAAATCAGGAGGCTCCAGTGAAATAGCATCATGTGACAGAGCTTGAGCTGCTCCAAACCGCATCCTCACTATGTGACCGAGTAACATACACTCTGCTGGGATCAAGCAGGCAACAGTGACACTGAGCCCACCACAGAGAATCTTCATTAAGGCAGGGAGAGAGAGGCCCAAGCGCCCGGCATCAATGTACCCTGGAAGCTCAGCGCTTGAGTGGCCACCCAGGACAGATTCAAATACTGCCCAACTGATTGGCAGAGCGCCCACAGCATGTATTTCTACTGGGGAAGATCCACATCCGCACATGCAGCAGTGCACATAAAATTTATTCCGCATATGAACGGAAAAAATTAGAGGGAACCCATGGTACCCATGGGTTTTCTACTGGCTGGAAATAATTTGTTTATATGATGACATAAAGGCAGCCAGAAAATGCTGGCCCTTCCCTTCAGAATCATCCACTGGCAAAAATATGCCTTACCCAATCCAGTGAACTGGGAAACAAATGGCTGCCATGAAGTGATCCACTGAGCTGTAGAATGACTCCATAGGAAAACCAATATGTAATGTAGAAGGAAAAGAAACAGGCCAAGCTTTTACTGACAAATTCAGACTCCTATTGACACCATGGTGTATCCTGTATCCTGGCCCTATTGCACAGGTCCAGCAGTAGCACTTCCAATTCTGGGAAGAGATTGTGTAAGAACAGGGTTATTCAGAGTGAAGAAGTATCTGCACAAACCTTTATCTTCTGTGTGTTCTGGATGTTGTTAGCCTTGGAGGTCATGTATTGTCTGATTTGAGACATTTGGCTCTTTAGCTTCCCCTTGTAATTGACCAATGACTTTTCCAATTCCATTACTTTCTGCCGCAGCTCCCTATTAGCTCGGGACACTTCAGCAGACTTGGAAGAAGCCTCTTCAAGGGCTTTCTTTAGCTAGGAGGCATGCAGAAGAGGTTAGTTCATGTTCACTCCAAAAAATGTCTAGCTAGGGTAATCAATGACATGTATTTCTTATGAACATCACGAGGAAGAGTGCCCAGTTCCCTATTTAGAAGGTGATGAGGTAGATGGTAAGTTGGATCTTTCAGTTATTCAGAGGGAATGAAAGACTGCACAGCTTAACCTCTTGTGTTTCTGAATACTTCTTTGGTCAGAGGACACAATTATAGAAAGAATACAGCTCATGACAGACCAAAGAAGCAGAGACTGCTGTTATCCTGCCACTTCTCTCCCATATGTCATTTTTTTATCACAAGGATTTTGTACTCTTTGGAGGCTGTAATCAAACATCGTATAACCTTCATACTACATAGTCTTTTGGTCCTTCCTGGAAACCATATTCTAATTAATCTTTGGTTGTATTCCCCTCTAGATCCTATGGAATAAGTAAGGTTTTCACACAAAAAGGGGGGGGGGACAGACATGATAAATCCATCACTAACTATGCTACGCCACCAGAACATCACGTCGTCCACTGCAGGCCAAAACTCTCTGTGTTGCTCTCAAATGATACTGCAGCACAAAAGGGAAACAAGCAGTATCATGGATCACTCTTGTTTTCTTATTATTGGGAAGTAGAGCTCTTCTCAGGAAACTGGCCAAAGAAGGAATCTTGCAATTCTGCTCCATCTCACCTCAGCAGATTCCCTGTAATTTGCTTTCCTTGTAGCCTCTCGCTCAGTCTGAAACTGCTTCTTCAGGGCCTCCAAGCGTTCAGTATACACCTTTTCTTCCATCTTGGCTTCTTCAATAAGCTGCTCCCTTTATGGAAAGAAGAAAGAGACTCTCAAGGAAATAAACCATACGGAGTGAATTAGTAAACAATACAAGTGGAAAAACCTGGCCACCAAAAAAAAAAAATTAAAAAAAATGGGGGGGGGGGAGGAAGCAGGAAAAAGTGATGGTTCTGCTTGGGTGGATTCATTTGGCCACATTATGTTTGTCAAGAGCCTGCGACTTTTAAAACATTTCAGTCTGTTCATTCAATTGCAGGTTCAGCCACAATCCGTTCCTCAACAGCAGCTCCAAACAGCAATTCAAGATAGATTCTCCCTGCATGAGAGAAGCTGTCCTAGCATGTGGCTACTCTAAGCCAGCCAGCAGAGTTCACCCAGGAGAATGAGGCAGACTGCTCCAACTCAAAGCCTTTCTCATTGCTAAGGAAACCATGAAGGATTTCCATCGGCAAGCAGCCTGCGGTTTCCAGGAGGCAGACTTCTTCCCTGCTTCCATTCCCTGATGGCAGTAAAGGGCCAAGAGCCATATTGCAAGTCTGTCAGTGATAAGTGCTGCCAGCTATGCAGGCATGTCACTCACTCAAACAGCAGCATAGTGCTCCTCTGGACTGTTCAACACACACAGCCCAGAGGAAAGACTAGGTTCTATTTGCAGCCTTCTAACACTGCAGAGGAGCCTGGAGAAGTCACAACATCAGAAGGCAACCAGCTCATTCATGTGGCTTTGCACTATCAATCCACCAAGCTACTGGCTCAACACCCATGCCATGAAGATTGTTTCTGCAGCCGACAAACGGATGGAAAGGACCACAAGCTCTGCAATTAGAAATGGAAAAGCAAAGTGTTCCTCAGCCACAGCACCTTGCACTTGTTCTTACCTGCAGGCCATCAATTGCTGATGCTCAATTTCTTTTCTGTCCAGTTCTTCCCGAGTATGTATCAGCTTGCTCTGCAGGGTACTATTGGCCTGCAGAGCTTGTTCCAAACTCAAAGCAAGTTTCTTGTTATCCGCTCTAGCGACATCTAGTGCTTTACAAAGTGGATCCACCTCAGGGGTAAAGAGAGAGAAAGAGAGAGAGAAATCTTATTTATATTTTAGGCATGTTGGAAGGGCATAACAAATGGGTTTTTCAGGGGTCTGTTTTGGGACTGGTTCTGTTCAATATCTTCATCAGGGATTTAGATGATGGCATAGAGAGTACACTTATTAAGTTTCCAGATGATACCAAGCTGGGAGGGATTGCAAGTGCTTCTAGGGTAGGGTCATAATTCAAAATGATCTGGACAAATGGGAGAAATGGTCAGAGGTAAATAGGATGAAGTTTTAATAAGAACAAATGCAAAGTACTCCACTTAGGAAGGAACAATCAGTTTCACACATACAGAATGGGAAGTGACTGTCTAGGAAGAAGTACTGCAGAAAGGCATCTAGGGGTCATAGCAGACCACAAGCTAAATACAAGTCAATAGTGTGATACTGCTGCAAAAAAAGCAAACATGATTCTGGGATGCATTAACAGGAGTGTTGTGAGCAAGAGATGAGAAGTCATTCTTCCAGTCTACTGTGCACTGATTAGGCCTCAGTTGGAGTACTATGTCCATTTGTGGGTGACACATTTCAAGAAAGATGTGGAGAAATTGGAGAAGGTTCAGAGAAAAGCAACAAAAATGATTAAAGGTCTAGAGTACATGACCTACAAGGGAAGACTGAAAGAACTGAGCTTTTTTGGTTTAGAAAAGAAAAGACCGAGAGGGGACACTATAGTAGTTTTCAAGTATCCAAAAGGGTTATACGAGGAGGAGGAAGAAAAATTGTCCTCCTTGGCCTCTGATGATAAGACAAGAAGCAATGGACTTAAATTGCAGCAAGAGAGGTTTAGGTTGGACATTAGAAAAAACTTCCTAACTGTGAGGGCGATTAAACATTGGAATAAATTGCCCAGGGAGATTGTGGAATCTCCAACATTGGAGATATTTAAGAGCAGGTTGGATAGACATCTATCAGGGATGATCTACACCATGCTTGATCCTGCTGTGAGGGTAGGGGACTGGATCTGATGATCTCCCAAGGTTCCTTCCAGTTCTAGTATTCTACGATTCTAGTTAGTTGAATGAAAAGAACTTGTATAAACATCCCTTCCCTCACCACCTCTCCAGTAAGAACACAAGGGATCTCCCCCAGTCAGCATCAGTTTGCTGGACTGGAACTCTGGCCAACAGCTGCCCACAATTGGTAGTTAGTAAGCAGAGACTGCAAACACACTATTTGTATTTGCTAGAGAGAAATCCTCAGAGTGTGTTTCAGAAAACCAAGATTCACACACTGCTTTGCATCTAGGCTCCACAAGACATCAAGCTTTCTTCCAAAATGAAGGCTCCCCATGGTAGGCATAAGCTTTGGCCTGCTCTGCCTACATTACAGACAAAAGTATCTTTAAGTATTAAAACAAAACAGGTTTTAAACACAGTGATCTCTCCTGGTATAGACATTGGCCAAGAGATGCCTCCAGCAAAAAAAGAAGACTAGACTAAATATTTCTAAGATTAAAAGCAAGCAGCAATGTCCTCCTGCTCCCACTAAAAAGAGAAGTAAAAAAGAGAATAACATGAAGAAGAAAATAAGATACAGGTTCTATAAACCAGAACTCTTTGGTCCAGCAACATCTCCTGGATGTTCCAGGATCAGAGTCCTGGCTCACTGCGAGAGGTATGTGTGGCTACATCTAGACTGCAGCACTTTTCCGGGATACCACAGGTATCAGATTGCTTAAAGATTGCTTATCCAAGCAATGGGACAACTTTTCTGAAAAAAATTTCGGAAAAGCGGATGTGCCCTTTTTCCATCCCTGTAAACCTCATTCTACGAGGCATAAGGGATGTGTCTAAAGAGGTTTTTCTGAAATTTGGCGCTATGTAGATGCAACAAATTTCAGAAAAGCCTCTTTCGAAAGAAGATTGGAAAAAGATACATAATTTGCATACTGCAAATTGTGTATCTTTTTCTGATTTAACTCTGCAGTCTACATGTAGCCTGTCTGTGGAATGGGACTGGGAGCCTGGCACAGAGCTCGACTGGGCTGAGGGAGCAGAGCTGGGCGGGCCTGCATAAAGCCCAGCTGGATTGTGGAGAGGAGGTGGGAAACCCAGTGCACATGACCGAGCTGGGCTGCCAGGGGAGTCGGGAAGCCCAGTGGGGTGGCAGGGCAGGAGGATGGGCCAGGAGCAGGGGAGCCAGAAATGACCTTCCCCTGATCTGGCCAAATCCGTCATCTGGGGACCAATCACGTCCCAAGGGTGCTGGACCAGGGAGGTCCAACCTGTATTCATGGGAAAGAAATACAAATTTTAGAATTTTTTTCACATTCACTGTTGCCATTTGAAGACTGCTGGAAGTTTATCTTTCACAAGGCATTTGGTGGCAGTAAAACTTCCTTGCTAAATATCCATAAAATTATGTACCCCAACGTTGACAGATTTTTGCCTTGTAAGCTTCCCAGCAGGTATTCCCCCACATTCCATCGTCCAAAAAAGGAGGATAGATCAGTATCACAGAACTAATCCAATCTCTTATCACTGGAAAAACTTGGTCTCTACCTGACTATTGTGCTGAGAGTCTATGACAAGCAGTTTGGCTTGGCACTGTTCCAATTCTGCCTCTAGCCTCTGGATTTTTTGTTGGCTCTGGGTCCTGCAAACAACAAGAGGAGAGAGTAAAGATCAAGAGGCATGATTAACAGTAAAGCCCACCTATGTATTCATTCCTCTTCCCTCTAGGGTAGAGGCCACCTCACAGTTTAGTTTTCTACCTTCAAAGTATTTGTTTTTCACTATGACAAATTAAAATTCAGGTGGCTGGCAGGCTTCACTGGTTCACATCACGGCTGTAATTATGTGTCCTGCCAACTACTTATTCTAAAACTTTATTTTACAACTAACACTGAGTCTTCAAACATATGAAGGAAAGTGTTGCAAATTCTCAGAGATCTTTGACCAATGAGGTTTTGGGCCAGGAGGTTAACTACTCAAACTAGAATAAAACACACACACAAAACCACCCCTAATAAATTGTGTCCACACAGGAAATGCGGCAACCTTTCCTTGTGCTAATCCAGTTAGATAACAAGGAAAGGTAACAGCCAAGATCAGAAAAAAATACAGTTAATGTGCTGTTTGCATTTATACTACAATCTTCACTCTGCTAGATGGCTACATAAGCACCTCTTGGGATTAGTAATCAGATATTGGCTTTATAATAGAGCATTTCCCCTAAAATTTAAAATAATTAACAGTTACTAAACAAAGTAAGACAAATTGCATTGTATGTGTACCATGAAATTTGCAGAGGTACTCATGAAGATATACCTCAATGAGGAAAAATGTCATATGAAAAACATATTAAAACAGTCTGAAGAAGGTTTTTTGATATGAGACTTCTAGTATCCCCAGACATAAATCCCTTCATGTGATTGACATCAAGAGATCTTTTTATACCCTAGGTGCAGTGTGCCTGTTGCACAAGAATGATATGTAGGTTAACAGAAAAGACAGTAAAAACAACAAGTAGTCCTATTTTACCTTCTAGGCTAACAAAAATATATATAGTATGAGCTTTCATGGGCAACGCCCACTTCTTCAAATGAGCTGGAAGCAGCGTATTCTTAACTGCAACTGATACAAAGTTGATCATATGTCCATGAGGGGCAAATTCAGCTAGTGCTTTGCCTCTGCTCTTCCTCCATGCTTCCAAAATTGCAGAAAAAAAATGAACTGCAGGAATTATAAATACAAACTGGGTTCACTGGGAACTATCTTATCTAGTCCTAGATAGTTTGTTTACTTCCCAAAGGCAGATAATGGTCTTGAGGCAACTGATACAAAGTTGATCATATGTCCATGAGGGGCAAATTCAGCTAGTGCTTTGCCTCTGCTCTTCCTCCATGCTTCCAAAATTGCAGAAAAAAAATGAACTGCAGGAATTATAAATACAAACTGGGTTCACTGGGAACTATCTTATCTAGTCCTAGATAGTTTGTTTACTTCCCAAAGGCAGATAATGGTCTTGAGCCTGGGGGAAAGAGCTAGTGATCAAGTCATTTCACGTCCTGGCTTGTCTAGTTTTTCGTTACACTGCAGATACGGAGAGTCACAGAGAACTGTTTCAAGCATACTTACCGGTCTTTTCTGAGCCCTGTGATCTCAGAATCCTTGCACCCCAGCTCAGTTTGGACTTTCTCCAGAGCTGCCTGCATCCTGCTGTGAGAAACCAGCACATTCTCCAGCACAGCTGTCACCTTATTGTTATCCTCCTTTGCCTCCTGTAGTTGGTGCTGTAACTTTGCCATCTAAAATACCAGAAAGCAGGCCGAGGGAGGAAACTGGTTAATTTCCAAAAGACTACTTTGGTCATACTCCTTATATAAATCATAAGAAGGTTACACCTCACAAGGGAAGATTAGTCTTGTGTTCATTGTATTAATTTAGATGGAATATCTGGGCCAAAGGTGTTAACATAATCCAGTCACTGTCCAACATTAAACAGTTTTATACAAGTTTCAGGGTTGGTAGGTAGAGATTTCAGCCTGGTTAATACCACGGCAAATACACAATTAAAATCCTTTTAGCTTTTTATTAAAGACAATAAAGGAAAAAAGGAAGACAGTTAAAGCATTTAAAATGTAAAATATTAAATAAGGCTTTAATTTCAACAACATCCTTGTTTCCTTTTCCTTTTTATGGTTTTTAGAAGGAAAATAACCCCATTGATAGTTTCTTAGATGGTATTTAAGATGGGTACCATTAAATTAAGGTTCTTTTTTGGAAAAAATAAAAGTTAGTAGAGATGGGTAGAAACAGTTGTTCTTGTTAAAATCTAATCCCATTACCTAGAAGATAAAACAAGATGAACAGGCACACAAGGAGAAAGAAAAGAACAGCAAAGATAGAAAACGAAGTTTCTGTCTTTGGAGTTGACTTTCACTTGCAGTTTCAGCACTGGAAAAACTCAGGCACAGCACGTGGTTTTAGCCACTTCAAAGCCTAGCAAGCTTGTGTCAGCATCGAGCTATGTAGGAAGATATTGTATTTAGCTGCCTCTATTTGGTCACAGGCTTACTTCTATGTTACAAAATGTAGTCTTGGCCAGCTAATCCAGTCTTATTAAACAGAAGGAAAAAGGAGAAAGGATAGGAAAGAGGAAATAAGGCAATGAAGGAAAAGCACTCACTTCTGGGAGTGGTAGAAAGACTGTATCACATCCCAAGTGCTATTAGGGATTTTGTGGGAGCATGTGGCAGTGTCACCCGGCTCCCTCTCTCTGGCCTGCTCACACCTCTCAGGATCAGGATGACAAAGACTTGGGATCCCAGGAGAAAGTGAGGTTGGCAGTAGCCAATTTTCTCTCTAAAGTCACTTTTTTAAGGCCCCCAAAAAGGAGTGGTAAGTAGATTAATTCTGCCTGTCTCTCTCTTGTACCTTTTCCCATCAATATTTGGGATATCTTATGAATTTTAACTTATTATTTAGAGATTAACTTACTATTATGGTAAATCTGTAGGCCCAATTATCAGAACAGCTTCTGCAGCCTGTATTTAGAAGTATGCTGGAGGAGAAAAGTTCTCCAGAATTCCTCTCCACTTTCTACCCTTCCTTTGGTTTAATCATCAGAGCAATCTGTCATTCTGACAAAGGAAGACCAGCTCTAACCTCCTCCAATTTCACCAATGCTGTTAAGCAGGCTGCCTCTGTGGCATTCAGATCCCATCAGTACAGGGAATGAGTAAGAATGGAATATGAATTCTACCAGCATGTTGTGGTATTGTCCACATTAACTGTGTTGCAATCGCCAGACTCTGTTTTGCACCCATGTTATGGCTGAGCATTAAGTACAAACCTGGTGACTTCTCACACCATTTTACATAAGTATTAACTCCACTGATTTCAAGATAACTCCTGATTCACACAGATGTAAGAGGAGAATCAGGTCCCAATTGCTGATACAGAACTTCCTAACTAAATATTAACCCTTAGTTACCAACTATATGTTGCTGGTACCAGCAGCCTCCTTTATCAATGACCACCAGTTAAAAGTATAATACAGGCAGTCCCCGACTTACACGGATCCGACCTAAGTCGGATCCGCACTTACGAACGGGGCTTTTCTTGCCCCGGAGCTCACGGGCGGCGGGTCGCCATCCGTGTCCTCCGGGGCGAGAAAAGCTTCTTCCAGTCTCCCTGGTCTGCTGGGGGGGTCCAGCAAAGCCGCCGCCTGGGTGGCTTTGCTCGTTTGCCCGGGAGCAAAGCCGCCCAGGCAGCGGGACCTCCGCCGCCTGGGCGGCTTTGCTCCTGTCCCCCTGGCCTGCCTGGGGGGGGGGGGGGGGCCGCTGGACCCTGTCAACCGACGGTCAGGGCAGTGTGTGTGGGTATGTCTCCTAAGTCTTTGACTGCTAAGACACGAAGTCTCGTCGCAGCGGGCAGCCCAGAAGGCTGAAAGGAGCCCCGAAAGTTTTTAACGTCCGTGACTTTACTGCTAGGACCACAGTCCCTTTGCAGAGGGTAGCCAAACAGGCTAACAGACGCCCAAGTGTGTAGGAAGAGCTTATTACACCTTAGATTTTAACTGCTAGAACACAAAGTCGGGACGCCTCGGGTAGAGCAGCTGGGGTGCTGCCGGGTTGGTCCTGTGGGAACCTACCGGGCAGCACCCCAGCTGTTCTGTCCCAAGCTCCAGATTCAGCAGCTGTTGAAACTGATCAGGCTGATTCCAGGAAGCTGGGGGCAGAGCAACTCTGCCTCCGGCTTCCTGTAGTCAGCCCCTGGTCAGTTTCAGTGGCAGCAGCTGAATCTGGAGCCAGTTCCGACTTACATACAAATTCAACTTAAGAACAACCCTACAGTCCCTATCTTGTACGTAACCTGGGGACCGCCTGTACTACAAAACATCATACAGGATTGTACAACACCTTGAGTCTCAGGAGTCAGTATTCTACACATGTTCCAGAAACCATATTGGAGCACTGTTGTCCATTACACACCAACAGGCCAATAAGACTTATGTTCAAGTTCAAATTTGCTGTGCTGGAATCTGAGCCAGCCTATAGCACATATGTTTCCTTTTTAAAAACTCCTGCTTCCTTGCCTTTTGCTTCTCCCTCTCTTTGATGGCTTCTATGTGCCCCTTAATTTTCTGAGTCTCTCGTAATGCCTCATCATGGGACTTGATTGCCATACAAACTTCTTCTTCTTTGTGTTCAAGGATGGCCTGTGCCTTTGCAAAGAGAAGGAGGAAAATGTTGATTTCTAGTTTTCCAAATCACAGGCATTTAATTACAATTTAAGGTGGTGGAGGGACTTTACCAGCAAAATGGTCCAGATGTCCTGAAAGTGAGAGATTCTGTATTTAGAACAAGGGATTTTACTTTTCAAAACAAGCATAAGACAGAAACTGTCACCTCTTCGTCTGGCTTTGATGCGAAAGATAAAAGAGATGGAACTGGAAACTCTAGCCCCAATAGGTGCTACAGTACAGATTGAATCTCTCTAGTCTAGCACTCTCTGGTTTGGCAACATCCGTGGTCTGGCATGGTTTTAGTTAGCCAGATGTCTACTTATCATGGGTATGGCCAAGTTTTCTACAGTCCCATAAAGTTTCTTTATAGCAGTGGTCCCCTACCTTTCGTGGCTGCCGGGTGTCCGCGGGCGGGGCCGCTCATGCACCAGGGGCTGGCACCGCGCATGTGCTGCGCGCCCGGGGCAGGGGCCACCCACGCATGTGCTGCGCACCGGGGGCAGGAGCTGCCCATGCGCTCTGAGCCCAGGGCCAGCACCGCGCATGTGCTGCGCGCCTGGGGCAGGGGCCACCCATGAGCCACGCGCCCGGGGCCAGCACCACGCATGGGCCGCGCGCCTGGGGGGGCGCCAGCCCAGATGTTTCAGCGGGCACACAAATGCCCTGGCGGGTGCCATGGCACCCACGGGCACCACATTCTTTCTTTCGGAGGCATTAAATCTCTTTTTGACTTTATGAAACAAAGGCAAAGTATTTCCCTCAGAATCCAAGCTTTAGAATAAATTAAACATGAGCAGGACTGAAACAAGCAGATGTGTTTTCTCCTGAATCTATTGGTAGGATTTATTGCCTTGGTTTTATTTGTAGAGAGCACTGTTCTTGTTTATACAGCATAACAAATATTTAAAAATCCATTAGAATCATGGGTGCTTTATCAATAGACATTATGGTACATCACTGCAGATCACCCATTCTTCAAACATGCCCTCAATTTAGTGCACATTACTAATTAATTGTTACATGTATTAAGATCTGCAATATTTTACGTAGCATCTGACAAAATTAAAATTAGATTAAATAGCAAATACAGATTAAGTAAGAAAAGAGCCTCTGCTCACTCATCCCTGGTAAACACAGTCCTTATAATCCACAGTTTATAACACAGAAGAAGGAGGGAAAAATAATTTGTTTTCAAAGTGCATCTTAACACAAATAGTTAACGTTTTCATGAGACTCTTCTGGATACTGCCAGCCATAACTATAGCTCTAGGCATAGGAACATGTGTCTGGGAATGCCACTTGTTTTAACATTAAAAGAGTGCACAAAATAGGTCATTCAAAAAGAAAGAAATTTTAGTCACACTGCCAATATACTGTTCAGAAAATGGAAATCAGAATAAGACAATTATATTTCTGAAATAAAAAATAACAACTTTCAATGACAACCTCTGAGTATCTCCAGTATCTGGCTCCCAAGAAAAAAGTTTAAAAGACTTTTGGCTTCCTCAAATCAAAGATGACCTATTTTGTATCAATCAGGCTAAGATGAAAGTTTCAGTTTCTACTCTGCTCCTTGAAACTTCCAATTGTAAATCAAATCCACAGCTTTTGGACTCGGTTACTGAGATAGTTTAAAATGCAGAGAACTTTCTTTGTCCCATTACCATTATAAACCAAATCTGATTCTTATCTTCACATAAAATGAATAACATAATGTATAGCATCAATCAGAAGATAGTCTGGCATTCTTACAGCAACAGTTCAGACAGGACCACAACTACATTATCCCACATCTAGAATAAACACTTTATACCTCTTAAATAGACTTTATTAATTAAGCCTGCATCTTTCTGTACAAGAAGCTCCCAAAGACTCCAGTATTTCTTCATTTTTGCTAACAATTTAAATTAACAAATTAAATTAACAGAAACTGCCTTGGGTATCCAGCCTCTAGTTCAGAGATGCCCAACTCTATTATCCAGGAGGGATACATAAACCTAAGATAAATCTTATGTGGGCCAAACAGATTCTACATATTTTATTAAGATTTAAAGGTACCTGTATTTTTATAAGTTCAGCTTGTTTCATATGTATTTGGATAGGCTATTTCTATATACAGCATAATTTATTTAAACACTTACATAAACTAAAATGATGAAAACATGATGACAAAATGCTAATGAATTGGCCACTAGTATAATGTATTTAAACAGACCATAGGAATTATGAAATGCTCTGGTGAGCCAAGGTTCAGCACCCTCTGCTAATCTATGTTTCATTGTCTTCACTCACCCTCATGAAATCTTCACTAAGTTCTGTAGACCATTCAGTTTTCAATAGCCTTGGTGCAAGGATGTCTATTTTACCCTCCAATCTTTCTTCCATGGTCTTAATAGCATTTAACAAAGTCCACAGAGAGATTCTAGGACAGTCACCACATTCAGAAGCAGATTTCCTTGAATGTAGATCTGGCATGAAATGAACCTTGTGTGAAGGGGCTTGTGATTCAAAGCCTGCAGTTTCCTCTCCTAAACCTCCTATATGTGATCTAATGTAACGAACACTGGACTTCTGCTGCCAGGGCCTCTCTGGGGATTTTCTTCTTTTTGGTGGCATTGTTGCTACAAAACAATCCAGTCAGTCCAAACAGGCAGAATTGGTAGAGTGTGGAAAAGAGGAAGAAATAAAGAAAACCAGAAGAGCGCACAGTAAGGTAATAAACTACCCCCTAACAATGTCTCTTCTCTGAAGACACAACAGAAGCCACACTCACAGATACTGCATCTTATCCCTGCACTACATTACTTTATAAAGACCTTGGTAGTAAGCCATATTAAAGCCTCATTTACTACACTTCTGATTAGTTGGATGGGTTTTTAAAATTTTCTTTCCTAAAACTTTGCGAGACCAAATTTTCCATAGCAACTTATTCAAGAAGGTAAATCGGTGTGGCTTCCCTTCATATCTTAGTAAACTGAGACATCACTGCTCACCAGTACTGCATTAGAACTATATGTGATGTCATTATGCCTTTTCCTTCTTATCATACTATATACTGTGACTTCATCAAGCAGAACATAACAGATCACCATAAGGAACTTAATCTTGCGTCATGTGAGGCAGAACATTTTAAGGGCTGATCTGTTCGTGATTCTGCCAATCACTTGCTTTTTTGTGTCTCCATTTTACCCCATCTGTAGAATGGAGATACTATATTATCTTTGTAAACTGCCTTCCCAAAGTTTGGGTAGTGGGTACTGGACTAGATCTATGCTCCCATTGACAGTGACAGAGTGTCAGACTCTCTAATGATCTTTAAAGTATCTGTTACATCCAGTTGGGATTTGCTTGATTTGTCAAAAAATTCTGATTGGTCAAAACTGAAACTTTTTGCAGGAAAGGATAAAGCTGTATGAATTTTTCAAATCAGTTATTGAAAAAAAAATTAATTTTTCAATTTTTCTAATTATTTTGAGCACCCTAAAGATATTTTTGTTGTTGGATTTTTGGTTTTGCAAAAGTTTGAGAGTCATCTAAATTCAGTATGAGAAAATGTGTTTACCTGTCAAACAAACTTTCCTGCCCAGCTCCATTATTTATCCCCTTGACATCCCTGTGAGGTAGGGAAGTGTTATTATCCCCGTTATAGATGGGGTACTGAGGCCTGAAGACTGACTTATTTGCCCATGGGAGGTAAGTGAAACAAGACCTACTGTGCTGTAGAATCCAATCCCAATCTCTGCTGCATCCTGCTACTATAATCTGTTGTGCAAACTAGCATGACACCATGCTGTCCCTTGGTTAGCAGATTAAACTTGTACATGTGCATACCCTACCACTTAAAACATTTTTCTTGACCCCTATAGGAGCTCTCCAGCCCAACAGAACACACTTTAAGGCAGTTACCATGAACAATCATTTTATTTAAGAATCTAAAGGATTTCCTTTTCTGACCAAGAACTAATTTGCATTACTAAACTGGAACTCACAGACTTCTATTTCTTCTCAGAAACCTAAGCAAGATCAGCAGAGAACATGGCCCAGTGCATCAAATAAAACATGCATGCTTGGTGCTTCTGCCCAGGGCAACACAATCCATCTTTGAGCTGTTGCTAAAAGACTGAATAAGTGATTTAGACTAGATTAGCCTGAACATTCACTGCATTCTTCCTTTTCTCCTCCCAAAAAAGCAGTCAAATAACTTGTAACAATTTGTGCTCTCCACAGTGAGCCATGAATAGACAAACATGGAAATGCCTACAATCCCACCAATTTGGCACATTCCAACCCTCAATATACACACATTAAATTTGCAGGAAACCACCTTGATTGTTTTGATACCTGCTTTAGCTGAGCTTCCATCTGTTGCATGTTCATCTTGACAGAGCCAAGTTCTGTACTCAGCTGTAATTTAGAATAATAAAAATAAGTATTAAATTACTGATGTTCTTGAGGGGAGCAGTCTGACCGTGGTGAGAAGTGAGGAATCCTCTGAATTTGTCTGTACCTGAGTATATTTGATCTCTAAGGCTGTATTCAGTTTGTGAAGGTGATTATTCTCTGAACGTGCATCTGCAAGAGATTGCATTTCTTCTTCAAGCTGCTGTACTTTATTCTAAAGGAAAACACAGAGACACAGTCAGCACATATCTCATTGAGCCTATTTAGTAAGTGAAGAACAGAAATTGAGCTTGAGACATCCAGAAAAGCAGAAGGGGGCGGGGAAGGGGAGAATGTGTTTGTAAAACTAAAAGAAATTAACACTGAGTAAAGTATCAGAATATGAGCAGCAAGAAAGTCCTTTTACTTTATCTTCACATAAAGGAAAAATTAAAACATTTAAATTAAACAAAATTAAAATTAAATCACTTTAATACAAAGCTCAGGATAGCGTCTTGGCCATCATCATTAACTATATCCGTATAGTTATGACTAATTCTAGCTCACACACTTATCTCTGCAAGGTAGCTCAGAAGATTAAGAAAAGAAATGTCCTCTTCAATAAGCTTGCAGGCTCAGCTTGAGGACATAATGCTACTTAGTAAAATAATATTATTCTTTTACTAAGAGTAATATTGCTCCTGCATGGCTAAACCTTCCCCACACAAAACTAGTATAATTGAATCTAACAATGAGACTAACAACGGGAACCATAAGAGCACAAAACATAATTGGCTACCAGTCTCCTAACATCAGGTCTCCTAACATTCCTTTTGCTTATATCAGACCTCATACTGGAGGAAAGAACCTCCTGGACACAATTCAGGAAATACAAGTAGTGACATTTTTCAAATATATACTGGAAGTACCTTACTCATAACTAAAAGACCAATATGGACTTTGTTGCTGACCATCTACATGGTGGCTGCCAATACATTGTGGCAAACAGAATGGGAACAAGCTGTTTCACCTGTAAGAAATGCCTTCCTCATCATTCAGCACCTTACAAGAGACTTCTGGCGTTGAGCTGCCATGCTGTTGCTGGTGCAAACTCAACCATTTCAGATGTGGAATGGTGAGGTGTGCAACAACTGACCACACCTGGGGACTCAAAAACAGCCCTCTGTGTAGCTGCTGTACAGTTGAGAAAACTGCACCACCTATTGAATAGCTGCTCATGTGGGGCTCGTCTATCAGGGCTTTAAAGCTTCACAAGGCTGTGCTTGATGCTACTAAATAGCTAAAGCATGTGTGATGCCTACCTAAGCCCTTGAGAAGTCTAACATTTTCCATTTTTTGACTTACACATCTATTTTAACTTTCTGTGTTATAGTTTTGAACCGTTTCCCATCTTTATTGTACCTCTTGAGCATTCATTAATAATAATTAATCACCAGATATGGTGACATTACACAAACATGCAGCTGGCTCACCTTGTAAATAGCCACTATTCTTCCCCACGGGCCCCTTCCATATTGTTTTTTCACAAGCACACCAAAATCCATGCACCCATCTCCCAAATTCTCAGGCACCCATCTGCAACTCCCTTTCTATTGTCCACTTACCTTCATCTTTATTCTTTATTTTTTTTTATAACCATGCAGTCTGTTCCCTTCTTATTTTACCTCTTGGAATAACAAGACATTCCAAAATCCTAAGATTTCTATGACAGGGAGACATGTTGCTTTAAATTGTCCCCCTTTCCTTCCTGCTCAGTGATTTTCATACTTATTTATCTGGAATCCTATAGGTGTAATAAGTGAGGCATCTCAACCCAATCTTTTACCTAAAGGCAATATATGGTCTGATGAGGATTAAACACAGTTTTGAATCCAAAACTACTTAAAATATCTGGCTGTTGTACTAATGACATCTGCAGAAGGAAATACAAGAACTTCCTTCTAATTATAATAATAAATGTTTGGTTAAATAATCCTAGATCTGCTGGACAGAAGCATTTTTCTCTGATCTGAATAAACTGAAAAAAGGCAAAAATCAGGTACCTGAAGCTTTCCTTTGTCGTAGGCCAGTTTATTCTTACTGTCAGTCAGCTCTGCTAGAACCTGTTCAACCTGTTGTTGAGCATGCTGGGAAAACAAGAGCAGAGGTCACCCACTCCTAGGAAAAGCAAGCCAAAATGGACTTGGGCTTTAGCATCTTCTCTCCCTCTGAGGTTTATTAGCCCTTTTCCCCTTGAAGTTTTAGTACATTTGTCCTCCTATTTTGATCAAATTTTCATTTAAAAATGAACAAGAGATCTCACCAAGTGAAACATCAGAGCAGGAGAAAGATATACTCATATCACCTTGGTACTAAGCCACCTCAATATATAGGAAGAAGCAGGCACACACTGATTCTCAGCCATCTAGAGCAGTGTTTCTCAACAGTAGTATGGGTACCCTTAGGGGTACTCGAGAGAAGTCTGTGGGGGGTATGTCAGCACAACTGAAATTTGGAGAAAACTGAATTTTTGTTTTACCTGGCATTGCTTGGGTCTTTCCCCGTGAGCCTTTTAAATAGAAGCAGTTGAAAGGGCTCATAGCTCTCAGCCCCTCCACTAATGCACTACCTGGAAGCTCAGGGAAGTCATGAACCCTTTAAATAGAAGCAGTTGAAAGGGCTCATGCGTCCCGAGCTCCCAGGCAACTCATTGGGGGCAGGGCAAGGAACTGCCACACAGGCCGGATCAGAGAGGTAGGTGGACCAGGCTCTTGCCCAGCCCTGGTTTAGGAGGAGTTCTTGGACAGATGGACTCACTTGCTCACAGAAACTCAGATATACAGTAGATTAAAATATTTCTCGTACCTCTTGCTGAAGACGCTCCTTCTCCATCAGTAGATCTCCTCTTCCTTTCACTGCTGTCTCCAGTTCACCTCGTAGTCTAACAATAGTAGACTCCAGGAGCACCTTCTGTGTGGTTGTCATATCCTCAGGTAGGCATGCTTTTTGTCTGCAGCCAGCATGCTCTGTGCGCAATGCCTCCCTGTGTAAGTGAGACAGGAAACATGAGTTGGAATTCTATACCTCACAATTTTAGATGTTGTGAACAGAAAATATATACCAGACATCCCTATTAATACCTGCTTTACTGTGTTCAAAAGTCCCGAGTAAGCATCAGCAAGCATAAAATCATGACTGGTGTTGAAAAAACGAATAAGAAAAAGTTATTTACTAGTTCTCAGAATATAAGAATGAGGGGTCACCAAATGAAATAAATGGCTAGCAGGTTTAAAACAAACAAAAGGAAGTTTTTCTTCATGCATCGCAGGGTCGGCCTGTGGAACTTCTTGCCAGAAGATGTTGTGAAGACCAAGACTTTAATAGGATTCAAAAAAGAACTAGATAAATTCATGGAGGTTAGGCCTATCAGTGGCTATTAGCCTGGATGGGTAAGAATGGTGTCCCCAGCCTCTGTTTGTCAGAGACTGGAAATGGATGACAGGGGAGGGATCACTTGATGATTAACTGTTCTATTCACTCCCTCTGGGGCATCTGGCATTGGCCACTGTTGGAAGTCAGTATTGGGGGCTAGATGGACCTTTGGTCTGATCCAACATGGCCATTCTTATGTAGGAAATAAATAGAAGCTGTAATAGGCTTGGACAGATACAGGGACCAGGACATACCAGAAACTGCTTGTATGCAAGGGAGAAAAGATTGAAGAATAACGGTTTAGAATATTCCTCACAGATCTTTTTGAAGTTGGGCTTTTTCATTCTGCACACTTTGCACCTCTCCTATAATGTTGGCTCGGGCAGCATCCAGCAGCAAGTCTTGTTCCTGCAGTTTCTGAGTCATCCTCTCCTGTTCTGCCTAAAGAGGAAATGGAAATGTTGCTGTGAAATCTCAAAGGATTATACAAAAGGCTACAGAGAGAAAAAGGCTGGAAGAGGGCACAAAGTTGCTATTTAAACCTAAGTTCCCATCTCCTGTTTAGTTCAGGGACTTCTGTATTTCTCTTAGAACTGGATATTGCCACACAACTCACTTCAGTTTTTCAACATTCTTTTTGAAATGTGGATGTCATAATTAGACACAGTACTTCTGTACAGGTTGCAACAGCAATAAATACAGAGGCAGCACAATCTCTATATTCTTACTAGATATTCCCGTTTATACATCCAAGGATAGCATGAGCACATAGCCACAGCATTACACCAACAGCTCATGTTCAGCTGAATATCCATCATGACCCTCACAACTCTTTCAGAGTCACAGCTTTCATAAGAACATAAGAACGGCCGTACTGGGTCAGACCAAAGGTCCATCTAGCCCAGTATCCTGTCTACCGACAGTGGCCAGCACCAGGTGCCCCAGAGAGAGTGGACCGAAGACAATGATCAAGCGATTTGTCTCCTGCCATCCCTCTCCAGCCTCTGACAAACAGAGGCCAAGGACACCATTTTACCCCCTGGCTAATAGCCTTTTATGGACCTAACCTCCATGAAATTATCTAGCTTCTCTTTAAACTCTATTATAGTCCTAGCCTTCACAGCCTCCTCTGGCAAGGAGTTCAACAGGTTGACTACACGCTGTGTGAGGAAGAACTTTCTTTTATTAGTTTTAAACCTGCTACCCATTAATTTCATTTGGTGTCCTCCAGTTCTTCTATTATGGGATCTAATAAATAACTTTTCTTTATCAGCCCTCTCCACACCACTCATGATTTTATAGACCTCTATCATATCCCCCCTCAGTCTCCTCTTTTCTAAACTGAAAAGTCCCAGTCGCTTTAACCTCTCCTCATATGGGACCCGTTCCAAACCCCTAATCATTTTAGTTGTCCTTTTCTGAACCCTTTCCAAGGCCAAAATATCTTTTTTGAGGTGAGGAGACCACATCTGTACACAGTATTCAAGATGTGGGCGTACCA